ATAAGGAGCAGTTTTGCTTACATTTTTATGAATATTTCCGTTTTAGATGTCTTGCAAAAACCCAACACAATAGGACACCTGGAAAATTCGCGATTACGCGCCAACGGGTATTAATGCCTGTTATCACCCGTCTAACCAATTAAGGCAAGTCCGCTCAGTGCATTTTGTACTAGAGCTCAGAACAGTCGTTTATCCTGGTGTCTAGGATCCGTGACTCGATTCAGTGTAACTTTTTTTGCTAAAACGATGTCTGAACGCTCTTTTATTTAGACCGAATCGAGTTCAACTGGAAAATAAAACGGCAACTTAAACCCCCTCGGAGGGAGGGTTTAGCGAATAACCAGAACGAATTTATCTCCTAGTACGATGTCTGAACGGTTTTATCTAAAACGCTGCCCGTTTTAGCCAGCGCAGTGACCCGGAGTTACGTAACGCCTTCTCCGTGGCGCGCTTTTGTATCAAGCAAACAATGTCCTAATTCTCCTACCGTTAAAAAAAATCCAATTTCAAGTCCAATTTCCGCAAGTTTTCTGACCACATAGTCCCAGTTTCACATCGTGCTCACTCGATCGCACACGAACACACGTACGATGCGATGACAAACATGTAGATGCCAACGCAATAACCGCTAACCGGAGCGTAATTATCATAATACACTAATATATTCAACTACCAGGAAAACCTTGGCGTTGATTGGTCAATATTGCGACGTTAATATCAAGTGTATTTTCACGTGACTGACATATTGTGCCGGCAAGTTGTCAAGTTGATGCAGTAAACCTTGAGTGCAGTGGAATCTGTTCAATGACGTGTTTGTTAGAACATTTTTTTAATGTCTTTTTGCACCACGAAAGGTACAGAAAATAGCCCCGAAATGTAAACACAAATGGTGTAAAGCCGATACGATACTTGGAAAAAAAGGGGAAATCGCCGCGGTGGACAAGTGACTGTCGTCACGTTTACCGCGTGCCACACTACATGACCGGCCGAGGCTGCGATGTCAAACACGGCATGGCAACACGCATCACACGGTGAGGGGCTCAGACCGCGTGTAGCTAACTGTCAAAATGGAAGAGTGAAGGCTCTTTTTAGCGCGCGGTTTTTGCCGAGGCGGATGTTCTACGTGACCTTAGAAACCGAGATAAACTGCTTCGAGTTGAACTTGCTATACTTAAAACGATGTCTGGACGATCGGTAGTTTTATTTTTACGACGGGCCTCCCGTGGCGAGCGACCGTTTTAACTTTTACCGTTTTATCTAACACGGTGTCTGATTACTTCGCAATCCTTCTTATCAATATTCAATTTGAATAAGCGTAAAAATCAAAAGGGCTTTACACGTCTTTAAAGGTGCGGATACTAAAATTAAAAAAGGGGAAGTAAGAAAGTAAAGTGCATTTCAAGAAAATTGAATCACGGAAAAAACTCCTTTCAAGGCGTATTCTTGATAAGATGAAGCCCAGGCCTAAAGATAATGCTAGTTACTTTGCCTCCAAATTTGCATAAAACGTTAGCAAACAAATCATTTCAGCAATCTGGTTTTGCTTAGGCCTACATATGCACTTTTAGTGCAATTCCTACGGTGAATCCTGCTCATAAAAATCCCCTGTTTTAGTGCGTCATGCTTCTCATTTGGTATGTAGAAACGACATTTCTGAATTTCCATGTATTAAAGGACAACATAGTTATTATTATAGTCACGTGTTCAACTTTTTTTTATAGAGTAGAACCACTTACATTTGGTGTCGTCGAGATTGCCTTGTTTACCACGGCACTCGGTTCTGAAAGCCGCGAAAGCCTTCTCACGAAGCGCGGCCAGATTGATAAAGTTGATAAAAATGCTTTAGAACTACCAAAGCGACAAAACGCTAACATTTACAAAGGCTAGTTCAGACTGTAAGTACACACAATGAAAAATTGCTGTGGAAGTTTTGCATGCCCAGTAACAAGGATTAAAAAATACTGTAATTAATACACCATGTAATATTGTATCACTCCGTGTCCAACCGACCAAAATGAATATAGTTACACCTCTATGTTCCGACACCCCTATGTTCCGACTGCACATATTCCTATTCCTAACCCTAACCCTAAGCCTAACCCTAACCCTAACCCTAACCCTAACCGGGAGTAACACAATCTAGGTTGTCGGAACATAGGGGTGTCGGAACATAGAGCAGTCACCATTAGGGTTGTGGTTCTACGCGCAGCAACTCTATACACTTAAAAATACTACATTAAATACACCATGTATACAGGTTTTCTCGGCCAATTTCCTGAAATGTTCATTTCACTTTTGAAAATCGATCATTCCTTTTCGTCTGAATTTTGAATGCACGTATTTAATCCCATTTCAGTTCAACGATAGTTAATTCGTTTTCATTGTCCGTGCATTTGGTTTTGAGAAACAGACGGCCAATTACGATACCTGTGCATTCATTTACACAAGCATACCTTTTCCAAATTGATTTCCGGTACAGCTAATTTGATTGACGGTTAAAAAAGAAACCCCTAATTGTTTCTGATGCCGATGGCATTAAAATAAAAGTAAAATAGAACAGTAAATGTTTGAAATCGCCCTCTAAAAGCGAAAAAGAAGTCTTGTAAACGCATATGAATGGACATAAACGAAAGGCGCTGCTCAATCACTTAATTGATTGAACTGAAATGGAATCGAATGCTCTGGTAGCGAAAATGAAACGCTTGTTCAGAGCGATTCTCCATTTCAGACGGAAATGAATGACCGATTTTCAGCAGTGAATTAACATTTTGGGAAATTGGCCGGGAAATACTATATTTTACACAGGAGCGTGTTTTTATTTCAGCCATATTCATCTTTTGTGTACATTTTCAAAAGATACGGTAATCTTGAAGAATGCTGTTAAAATTGTTAATTACAAACGTATATAATAGCCGTCTTTACAACTCTTCAGTGATCGAGAAACAAGCAAAACAGAAAAGTCCCATTTTATATGTGGATACTGTGATACATTGTGTGGGGTGTATATACGTCCATATGAACGTTATAGCTAGTCATTCAGTATGTACCGGCATGGGCGTCAATCCTGGGGGGGGACAGGGGGACAGGGGGACATGTCCCCCCCACACTTTTTGAAGGATGGGGGACACAATATCAACCCCCCCCCAGATTTTTGAACTCATTTACAGGGTCCTATACTACAGTGTATTTTTGGCTAAGAAAATATTGGTTACAGTGGTCAGAAATTGCCTCTGATCGCACCACAGAGAATTTAGAATCCAATATTTTTCGGGGCCTTAAGCGGGCCCCGAACCCCACGCAAATAGCTGAGAATATAATAAAATATGCAATGACTTCAACCTTGAAAATAATGTTTAAATTATTATCTCTTGCTAAGAAAATATTGGTTAAAGTGGTCAGAAATTGCCTCAGATCGCACCACAGAGCGTCTAGAATCAATTTTTTCGGGGTCCTTAAGCAGGCCTCGAACCCCACGCTTTAGCTCAGAATAGCTGATTCGATGACTCCAACCTCGAAAACGATGTTCAAATTATTATCTTTTGCTAAGAAATTATTGGTTAAAGTGGTCAGAAATTGCGTAAGATCACACCACAGACCATCTAGAATCGCATTAGTTCTGATCACGGTATGTCCCCCACTTTTGAGAAGCGATTGACGCCCTTGTGTACCGGTATGTGTTAAGCCTTACCATTACGGATAACTTATTAACATTACAACTGTACCTTCGTTTACATGATATTAAAACGAATTGAGATCACAAGCAAACCTAAGAAAATTTTTCTTCGCTATATATGCAATTCAATTCAATTTTCAATTCAACAGAACACTTATTCAATACCTGCAACAGTGATAAATATACAGGAATAACACAATTATGTAAACACTTAGTGTAATGCTAAATGAATGTCACAAAAAGAAAGAGGATAAATACATACTCGAAATAAACTCCTCTATAAATAAACTGATACTCAAACTCCAATAAAAGTACACAGACACAAAAGTTGTGTGAGTATGTGCCACCGCTTCAAGTTTAATTTAAGAATATTAATCGGAATACCAAAAAGCAGGGTAAACCGGAAGCATTAGGCGTTACCCCCGACCACCATAACTCCGACCACCATAGCTCAACAATGAATGACTCAGTGATAAGCATAAGCACAATATAGACAGTGATACCAATGACCACTATCCATCACAAACCATCAACAAAGAGCGCAACACTGTAAATGTTCTCTACTCAATTGGAATCGCTTCAGTAAAACCAAAGACCATAAAGGTCAACAAATTAGTTATCCGAGAAAACTTTCTTAGAATATTGAAAAATTCTCAAATGCCTCAACTTACGTATTATGTCAACTGTCTGTACCTCGTATTACATCACACTCATTCTGCCCATTGCTTTTGTACTCTTAGGCACAGAATTGGTAGAACACCCAGTCCGCAGGTACATATGTCCAAGAACTTATACCGACGTATACGGGCGTTGATATGTGGCGATGATGATACGCAGCGGCGTCCCACTCCAAGAAAGCCTCCTCCTGTCCTCCTTTGCCGACGGTCACCACGCCGTGTTTGTACTCCATCCAGAAGGGGCGACTTTCACTGTCGACGACGATATCTACCTCGATGTGCTCTGAACGCCCACCCAGCAACTGCCCACATTCCGGCGAGCCAAAGATGAAGCAGGCACGGATGGCCGACCTCTGTCTTGACCAGCCCCTATGGCTGTAGAATGAAAGAGTATCAAACAAAAGTTGGAGGTGTCATTAACTGAATATGGTAAGTGTCATTTTCCAAACAGATAAAATCTCTTTTCAATGAGATTTAAATCACTTCCTCAAGAAAGCTCTTTTGCGTGCGATGGTATCACGAGATGTATCTTATTATGCATGTCCCTATCCGAACTCCATTAATTCCCCCAGGCCGGTGATCGCAAGTCTTGATTGGCTCTTGTGATACATTTTTAAAGAGAGAACAAAATTAAGTGACTAAACAATAAATCAATGACACTCACTGATCCAGGCAAAGACAGACGCTTCTGTCTTTTCCTCCGCCAGGACTATTATGGCATCGCGGTGGGTCTTTACATCGAAGTCCAACAGGAAAGGCGCCCTCAGCGGCTGCAAGATGAACGTGGCAACTGGAGGGTCGGACGGCTCCAAATTGAACGAGCAAGCTATGTGAACCCCAGGTCATAAATAAACAGATAATACATAAAGATATTTATCAGGCTATAGGATATGTGTTAATAAGAAGATTTATGCTACACATTAATATGACACAGGGTTATCACTTGGGCTTCTATAGAACTATCACTGTTTGTATAAGAACCATTATATCGTGGTGTTTTCTGCCACTTGAGGACGCTGTTTGAAAGGGAAATCCTCTGAACAGTTTTATAATTATCGGTGAAAGAGACATTTATACTCTTGCACATTCCCCTGTGCATTAATCGAAAAAAAACGCATGTTAAAAACAAGAACATTGCCCAAATATAGAGCCCCTTTTATCTTGATACTGTGATAACTTCACTAAAAAAAAAAGACCAAAGGCGTAAACAAAACCCAAAAGGTCTTTAAAAGCATTTTTAAAATGGCGATAGTAAAACTAAAAAAAGGAAATTTAAAAAAAACAATTGCATTTCAAGCAATTTGAATCATGCGAAAACTTGATTTCATGGTTCTTTAAAGGATCATATTCTTAGTCCTACTCTTGGTTACATTCATTGTCCTATGGACCTGTTCTTGATTACATAAAGCCCCATGTGAAATATTATGATTTAAAGACTAAAACTAACTCCGCATTCTAATTGCACACGTTTCGTATACACTATAGAAAACAGTCATTTTAGAAATCAAACTTTTGCTAACAAATGCCTTTATAGTGCAATTCTTAAATTGATGCTTTACTTCTCATGAAAAAAACACCTTTTTTGTTTCAATGCGCTTCGTGCTTCTCATTATGTTATAAGTATACAAACAATTCTTGAGTTTTCCCCGTTTGACAGCATTCTATAATTGCGCTTTCAACATATTTTGAGTAGAATTACTTACATTTGGTGTCGTCGAGATTGCCTTGTTTACCGCGGCACTCGGTTCTGAAAGCCGCGAAAGCGTTGTCACGAAGCGCGGTCAGATCATCACCGGGTGCAGCCTTGATCATGGCGCTACACATCTTCCCTTGTACAGGTAGCAAAGAGAGGGAACATAAAAGCCCTAAAGTCCAACTGAAGACCAACATTTTCCGCGGGTTTTTCACATCAGCCAGCAGTTCTTCACTTATTTCTGCGTCAAAACAGGGAACGCGCACTACTCCCTTGCAAGACTGGCCTTGCGCCTACAAAATCGACTTGTCGTCATACAGCTTCTACGGTATACGTAATAATGGTTATTGTGTCCCCAGCATGCAGCACTCCACTTAACAATACAGCTTGCTCTTAGTTAATTACAAAAAACGTGCCATCGGCTCCTTCATCGATTTACCTGAGTTTAATTGCCCCCTTTTCATAAACGGGTACGTGTTGATGCTAGCCTTCAACTCTATTTCTTCTTTTATCGCTTGACTGCCACTCGCTCTGTGTCCAACCGACCGATGTAAATGTAGTTTAATATTACCGTTGAGTCTGGCACGTACAATTTCACTTACAAATCCTGTTTTGCACCATATACCATTACACGAGAGCGTATTTTTCAGTGATATATTCAATCTTCGTTTTTATTAGATGTGGTAATCTTCAAGATCGTTGTTATAAATCACACATTTTTATTGTGCGTCTTACAACTCCTTTGTGGTCTAGAAACTAGCAAGACAGAAAATCACTCATATGTATCATATTACATTGTGTATGCGTTGATACGAGGTACATGTATATATTCAGAATTCCGGTGCACGCTGCCTTACGTCCTGAGACAAATACACCAACTTGCAAACCTTGACCATTCAACAGTTATGTATCAAAAATGATAATAGTGTTTCATCCAATCACTGACCTGCAACCGACGAGTCAATGTCAATGCTGCTCGCTTGCATGTCTTAATAGTATTTGCCATTTTCTACAATGGTCGCGGAGAGCGGTGTACGTAGCACTCGGGGTGCTTCTGGCCGTGTTCACGGCACCTACACGCGTCCGCGGATTGTAACAACTCGCAGAGGGCAACCTTTAGCGCGAAATGCGTGATTTTCGTGGGCGGCCTGTTCGATTTCCCGGGCAGCCCGCCAACAAGAGGTATAGCGCAGATCTCGTCCACAGCTTGGAAGGGATTCTAGACGGGTACCATCTTGGAAAGAATTGGGGGTTTGGTGATGTTAAGTTGATTTTGAGCCTTTACTTTCGCAGTAAGATTCGCTCTGAAGATGACAGAATCTCAATAAATTCCCTGTCACTAACGCTTCGTGAAATTCTGCAAAGACTTAGGGTAAAGCAGAGAATTCCAGAACAGTTATTTCGCAAATGCGAGATCGCATTCCGGTCAATCACAGACGAAGCAGGCACGGTTGCCCGACCTCCGTCTCGACCATGCAGCCGCCTATGTCCGTAGAATGAAAGAGTATAAAACAAAATGTTTTGGTGTCATTAACTGATATGGAGCCCAGAAAGGTCATTGCGATTTTCCCACCAGATGAAATCTAAGTTTCAGTGCGATTGTAAATCACCTCCAGAAGAAAGCCTCATTGCAAACGATGGTATCACGAGGTAATATAAAGGTTGCATGTCCCATTCCGAAATCCATGAAATTACCCTCAGGCCGTTGATCCCACACCTTGAGCAGCTCTTGCGATACACTTAAAAAAGAAAGAAAAAAAAAAGTAACTAAACAATAGTTTGGTGACACTCACCTATCCAGGCAAAGACAGATGCGTCTGTCTTTGCCTCTGCCAGGACTATCATATGGCATCTTGGTGGGTCTTCACATCGAAGTCCAACCGGAAAGGTGCCCTCAACGGCTGCAAGATGAAGGTGACAACTGGATGGTGGTTGGACGGCTCCAAAGTGAACAAGCAAGCTGTGCGATACCCCGATAATAAAGAAAAAACAGACAAATCCGAAATATATTGTAGCGATTATCATGGTTCAGGATGTATCACAAAGTGCAATAGAACTATGGGCCTCATCCGTTTGATTACGAGTGGATCGACTTCCAACGCTGCCCTTCATCTATACAAGACTCTTGTTCTACCTATATTGGATTTCTGTTCTCCCATTTGGTGGGTGTACAGCAAAAAGTACATCAAATATCAGTTTATTTACGTGAGTTTACGGGTTGCTGAACGTCAAAAACGACATTTCTAAAAAATATTTAGATTGCAGTAGACCCTTTGATTATTTGCTAAAATGTCTCTATATATGTATTATTTAAATAATACCTCACCTTCAATCGGCCCTTTACTTTTGTTTTCTTAGGCACATAGAACAGCACCTGATTTCATCAAACTCGTCGTAACTTACGATGCATCGCAGCGCTGCGACGCGTCGTATCCCTTTGCTTACACAAAGCGTCATGCCGTTGTTAGTCAAAGCTAATCCGATTACGTACTTAGACGGTATAACAGAGCAGTGAAATTCATGCACCCCAAAAAACATGGCATTTTGAACGTCGTGTTTCTCAGAAAATATGCTCAGTATGATTGAAATGTTAAAATATAACAGAAGAAGAAATTCTAAACTTAATGTCAGTGAAAAAAAATCGCCGTCATCGAAGCCAAAACGTCAATACTTGTTACTGGTAAAGCTGACCTTCAAATCTGGAAGAAATCGTTCGAAAACGTCCCCAAATCTATGTATTTATATCTATTTCTAGAAATTTACGAAAGTTGTTATTTCACGAGTAGTTGAACACTTATATCATCTAAGTATATTCCAAATTTCAGCTTAATCTGTTGTTGCATTATTTTCTTCTTTTATCGTTTACCTTACTTTCTTACCACTGTGTGTCCAACCGACCAAAATGAGTCCAACTTTTGCGGTGGAAGTTTTGCATGCATAGTATTAAAAATGATATATTGAATACATCATGTAATAATGTCAGTCACGAGCATGTTTGTCTTTCAACGATATTCACCACCCGGTTTATTTTCAATAGATATTGAAGAATGCTGTTAAAATCGTTAATTACAAATGTTATAGCCATCTTTACAACTCTTCAGCGATCTAGAAACGATTTGTTAAACCTTAATATTATGAATTTTTCCAATCTACATGATATCAAATCGAACTGAGATCACCAAAAGACGAACCCGATTACATATTTTTTTCTCGCTACTTATGCATCACTATCCCATAAATTGCACTTGCTTCACAAAATGCTTTATAAACAAAATGACACCACAACAAAACCCAGCGAACACTTAACGATATGGATCAATTACAAAAATCCATCCGTAGGCCTACTTTATTTTATACGATATTAAAACGAACCGAATTCAGAAAATAAACTATACATTAATTGTCTTCGCTATAATACATCACTCCTCTACAATAACACTTGCTTGACAATACTTGGGGAAAATACACAACGATATATCCCCTGTCTAATTAAATCACTTCCAAGACTATAAGACCGTGTTTATTTTGTACGGTATTAAAATGAATTGAGATCACAAACACAGCCCTACAGTCATTGCTACGCTATGATACATCTTTCCTAGTCCTCTACAACTTACACTTGCTTGGAAGTGGTGAATAAAGGTGGTTTATAACTAGCAAAGTGACAAAATATAAGAGCAAAATTTGGAAATTCTGGTTTAGACTTGAAGCACAAAAAAAATCGCTCATGTGAATCGTGTAAAAAAAAAAAGTTATCGCGTCTCAGTCCGTCTACTATAGGCCATTATGGCCTAAATGTAGACCGATGAGGGCGCCGTTTTTTTTAGGGTAGGCCTACAAACAAACGTGATTCTTAGTTAATTGACGTGAGTTTACAGGTTGCTATACTTATAAACAACATATATTTTTTAATCTTAAGATTGAAGATTATTATTTGCTTAAAAGGCATGCCTTGTATGTAGGCCTACCGCGTTTGAACAGTCCCCTCATTTAATTTAGACCCATTTCACCCTTGTTTTATTCACAGAATTGATGGAACACCCAGTCCGAGGCTACTGAACCCCAAGCACTTATTCCGACGTATACAGGTGTTGATATGATGCGATGATGATACGCAGCAGCGTCCCACTCCAAGAAAGCCTCCTCCTGTCCTCCTTTGCCGACGGTCACCACGCCGTGTTTGAACTCGATCCAGAAGTGGCGACTTTCAGTGCCACTGACGATATCTCCCTCGATGTGCTCTGAACGCCCGCCCAACAGCTGACTGCATTCCGGTACGTCATACGAAAAACAGCCTCGGATGGCCGACTTCTCTCCGCTCCAGCCGCCAATACCTGTTGATATCATTAAAATATTTTCGATGAAATTATGGGCTTCAGGAAATCTTGTCTTTGTGAATTTTTGAATTTTCATTGAGTTTAAACGTTGCAGGTTTGTTGTAAATCTTGGGCTTGAGAGAATCGAAGCTGTAGGTTTCTCCCACGATTGAGCTATAATCTCCCCTCCAGTGGCGTAGCCAGGAATTTTTCAGTGGGGGGCGCTGGGGGGGGGGGGGGGGCTGGAACATTTCATGGGGGGCGTCATGTAGGGGCGTCAATCGCTTCTCCAAAGTGGGGGGGGGGGGGTACATACCTTGATCAGAACTGATGCGAGCGCGAAGCCCTTACGGCGTGGGGGTTCGGGGCCCGCTTAAGGGCCCCGAAAAAATTGGATTCTAGATGTTCTGTGGTGTGATCTGAAGCAATTTCTTACCACTTTCCTCCATGCTTTAACTAATATTTTCTTAGCAAAAGATAATTATTTGAACATCGTTTTCGAGGTTGGAGTCATTGAATCAGCTATCGGTGTTCTGAGCTATAGGCGTGGGGTTCGGGGCCCGCTTAAGGGCCCCGAAAAAATTGGATTCTCGATGCTCTGTGGTGTGATCTGAGGCAATTTCTTACCACTTTATCCAATAATTATCTTAGCACAAAAGATAATAATTTAAACATAATTTTCGAGGTTTTCTCAGCTAAAGGCATACGAAAATTTTGTGAACATTGTTTTCGAGGTTGGAGTCATTGAGTCAGCTACCAGAATTCTGAGCTGGCTATAGGCGTGGGGTTCGGGGCCCGCTTAAGAGCCCCGAAAAAATTTTGGATTCTAAATGCTCTGTGGTGCTATCTGAGGCAATTTCGGACCACTTTAATCAATATTTTCTAAGCAAAAGATACATTGTAGTACATAATAGGGCCCTGTAAATGAGACACGAGTTCAAAAATCTGGGGGGGGGGGGACATTTGATATTGTGTCCCTCACCCTTCAAAAAGTGGGGGGGGGGGGACCAGTCCCCCTGTCCCCCCCCCCCCAAGATTGACGCCCATGGCGTCATGTAGATCAATGATAATTTTTTTAAGAAACTCAAAATCTCAGTGGTGGGGGGGGGGGGGGGGCCCACTGGGGGGCGACAAGGTTTCATGGGGGGGGGGGCTGTCGCCCCCCACGCCCCCCGTGGCTACGCCACTGATTTCAAGGAATTTTAATTGGTCTATTATTATTATTTAGCTTATATGAATGGAGGAAAAAGTTTGTGCGTGGCCGATTCGCGTGATATCGCGGACTGAAACTGTGTGACCCACGGACCACCTGTCTATAATACGTGTTCCGTGGTGTGAGCGAGCAGTGCAGTGGGTGTTAATACGCATTTTAGATTATCATTATGCGCTATGTCACGCCGGTTGTCAGCTTACTGGTCCGCGGTCGCCGGTCGAAGGGTCGTTTCTCAGTGGTCATCATGTGGATCATTCGAGACTATTTAGATTTAGATCAATGATAATTTTTTTTAGAAACTCAAAATCTCAGTGGGGGGGGGGGGGGCGACTGGGGGGGGGGGGGGCGACAAGGTTTCATGGGGGGGGGGCGGTCGCCACGCCCCCCCGGTGGCTACGCCACTGCTCCCCTCCTACAAGATATCTCTTTCCCATACAATGATATCAGGAGATGTTATCTTGTAGACACGAGATATTGTTTACCGTTACGATAATGTTCCTTCCCGAATCCGTAAAACTACAGTTCGAAATCACTCACTGATGAAGGCAAAGACAGATGTTTCTGTCTTTTCCTCCGCAAAGACTATAACGGCATCGTAGTGGGTCTTCACATCAAAGTCCAACCGGAAAGGCGCCCTCAGCGGCTGCAATTTGAACGTGGCAACTGGAGGCCGGGTCGGCTCGAAAGTGAACGAGCAAGCTGTCCGACACCCGATAATAAAAAAAAATAAACAGACAAAATCATCATCAGGCTATAGGACTACACTTCATATTAATATCTCACAGGCTTACCACAAGGGCTTCTCAAGGCCTATCAATGTTGTAAGGATGGTGTGAGGTTTTTAAATAAGTAAGTTCATCTGGATTGTTGGTAAAAAACATGAATTAGGAGATTCGTTTTTTTCCAATCCAAAAACGTGTAGATGTTACTCGAGTATTTAGTTACGTTTCACTCCTAAGGTAGAAGCTTCGTCAAACTGACAACCATGTCCAATGCTCAATTGCCTTTTATACCCTTTCTTGGTCGTCAAAGGGGCGTTGTGGGCGTGGTTTGGACTAGTTGGTCATAGATGTTATGGAGCTTGTATGCCCCGTCATCTTTATTGAGAGTCTTCTCCCCCCCCCCTCCCCCCACCCCCCCCCCCCCCCCCTCCGTCTGATCGGCATGGGCGTCGCCAGGATTTCTTTCCGGAGGGGCAGAGCAAATTTTCCCCCAAAATTCCTTAACTTTTTTCACTATATTCTCGATTTATCATTTTTCCGAGCGTGAGCAGGGGAGCATTTGCCCTAAGCCCCCCCCCCATCAAATTAACAGCAATATGGCTTCGCACCTCTTTTCTCTTTTTTTTCTCTTTTTTTTTCCTTTTTCCTTTTTTTTTTCGTTTTCGGGGGGGGGGGCAAGTGCCCCCCGTCCCCCCCCCCTCGCGACGCCCATGCTGATCGGGGACCATTGCTCCCAAAATAACCCCTTTATCTTGATCTATTAAAATTGTTCATGAATATTGAAATTCGAATAAGCATAAAAACTATAAAGACTTAACAAATTACTACTATAAAATGGCAATACAGGGTGAGTAAAATAAGATAAAAACGCATCCCAAATGGCAGGACCAATTTTTGAATGAAGTTTTGCCTGTAGCACACTCAAAATCTAGGATATGAAAGCCTAGTCATTTAGCTTTCTGTTCGCACAAAAATCATTCAAATCACTTATGCACTTCTTAAGTTACGGAATTCTAAACACAACCACCGTTTTAAAGTTCTGTCCACGGATCACAAAAAAAGAAAGTGTTCTTTAAGCAAAACGAAAACAATTCTCGTAGGGATGCATGTAAAGTGTTTTCATTTTCCTGAAAGAACACGTACCTTTGTTTTGTAACTTAAAAAGTACATGAGTGATTGGAATGATTTTTGTACTAAAAGAAAGCTCATTATCCCAGATTTTGAAAGTGTTACAGGCAAAGCTTCATTCAAAAATTGATCCTGCCATTTGGGGTACGTTTTTTTAAACTCACCCTGTACAGACACTGGGGGGAAAAAAAGAGAAGTGAGAGCAACTAGCCTTCCAAGAAATTCGAATCACGGACAAAACTCCATTACATGGTCCTTTAAACATGTGTTTGATGAAGCCCCATGCTGAATATGATAACGAAACTAAACGTGGTTAGGCCAAAAAAAAAGGCTCCGGTTTCTGGTATGGAGCTTGTCCAAAAAGTGGTGCGGCGACGCGGCTTTTTTTTTTTTTTACCCGACTTTTTTGCTTCAAATGTCGGCTGATGACTGCAAATGGTGCCCGACTAAACTTAGTGCAAATATATGGGAGTCCAGAGATGCCACATAAAGCTTATTCTCGATCATAACCCCATCTAAAAACACGTTGAAATTGAGCAGCAGCAGAATTCCAGTCAAACCAGTGAGTTTGGCGGTTTTGAGACATCATCTTTCATTGAAAAAAAAAACTTTTTCATTTTGCCGACGCGCATGGCTACGGCGACGCGCGCGCATACCAGAAACCGGAGACTTTTTTTTTTAGCCTTAGTACTTGTTACTTCCTCGGCGAATTTGCATGCGTTTTGTAGAACGACTGCGAACCGTTGTAGGTTACACGTATATTTTTGCCAACAAATGAACTTAGGCTACAGTGCAATTGATTCGTCTCGTAAAAAACTTTTTCTTTAGTGGGCGTTATGCTTCTCATTATATTAAGTAGAACCCGCCACAGTTGTGAGTTTTCCCCGTCAGAAAATATACTATAGTCTTGCTTATAACTGATTTTCATGGAGTAGAATCACTTACATTTGGTGTCGTTGAGATTGCCTTGTTTACCACGGCACTCGGTTCTGAAAGCCGCGAAAGCCTTCTCACGAAGCGCGGTCAGATCATCACCGGGTGCAGCCTTGATCATGGCGCTACACATCTTCCCTCGTACGGGTAGCAAAGAGAGGGTACTAACAAACCCAAAAGCCAAAACTAACACCAACATTTTGCGCGGGTAAGTCAGCCAGCAGCCAGCAGTTCCTCACTTTCGTATCTGCGTCAAACGGCGAGCGCACCACTCCCTTTCGAGACCAGCCATTGCGCCTGCCATTGTCGTCACAATAATTTCCCTGGCAACCGTAACAAAGGTTCTTTTGTGTACTAGGTTCTCCGTGCACTCAACACTGGTTACTTTCAAGTTGCTCTGGCTTTTGTTATCAGCAGACTGCCAGCGGCTTCTTTAATTTTTAATTTTTAATTTGTCTCTTGCTACTTAACCCGTCGGTGCTTGCCGACATTTCCATTTTCTCTTTGTTGTCGCTTACCTTATTGTCAACCACTCTGCGCCCAACCGATCTACATTATTTATTTATTGCGGTGACAGTTTTGCATGCACATTCATTCTCATTAATTAAAGTAATATTTCATATTGAGCGCATTTTTCTTTCAGTGACATTCACTGTTTGTGTGCAGGGTGAGTAAAAAAACCAAAACCCAAAATGTTTGGACCGTTGTTTTAGTGAAGTTCTGCATGTAGCACTTTCAAAATCTAGGATATAAAAGCCCCATTCATAAGCTTTCTTTTATTACAAGAATCATTCAAATCGCTTATGTACTTTTCAAGTTACGGAATTTTAAACACAACCACCGTTTTAAGGATCACAAAAAAGTTCAGTGTTTTTTCAGCAAAACGAAAACAAATCACATAGGGATGTGTGTGACTTGTTTTCGTTTTGCTGAAAGAACGCACACTATTCAATAGGTTTTCCCGGCCAATTTCCTAAAATGTTCATTCACTGAAAATCGGTCATTCATTTTCTTCTCGGAATATGAAAATCGCTATGAACACGCGTTTCATTTTCGCCACCAGATCATTCGATTCCGTTTCAGCCTATTAAGTGATTGAGCAGCACCTTTCGTTTATGCTCATTCAGATTTGTTTACAAGACTCCCTTTTCGCTTTTAGAGGGCGATTTCAAACATTGGTCATTCTATTTCACTCTTAGTTTATTGTTATGTGATGCAATCTGCTATTTTGAATGAAAAAACGTACTTTCGATTGCACATTCACGAAATTGTATGCCAGAACTCTGCGCGAAAAGGTATGCTTGCGTAAATGAATGCACAGGTAACGTAATTGGCCGTCTGTTTCTCAAAACCGAATGCACGGACAATGAATACGATTGGACTTTCGTTGAATTGAAATGGATTAAAGACGTGCATTCAAATTCAGACGAAAACAAATGACCGAATTTCAGAAGTGAATGAACATTTTAGGAAATTTGCCGGGAAAACCTATAATAAACTTGTAGCTTGTGATATTCCCTACGGTGCTTATATTATAGTCTTCACATAGCATGGAGTTATTAAACATAGCTCGACCATGGACATATTAAAAAAAAACCAGTACTGCCAGCGGCGTAGCTACGGGGGAGGGGGGGGGGCTCCACATGGGCGTCGCGAGCGAGGCAAGGGGGGCCCTTGCCCCCCCTCCGGGTGAGCCACCAAAAAAAAAAAAAAAAAAGGGGGGGGGGGAAAGAGGGGCGAAATCATATTGTTGCTTATTTAATGGGTGGGGGGGGGCAACTTGAAATAACCATGCCCACCCTCCAAAAATGACCAATCGGGAAAATGCTGGAAAAAATAGGGATTTGGGGGGGGGGAATGCTCTCGCCCCCTCTAGAAAAATCCTGGCGACGCCCATGCCCCTCCAATTTTAAAAGGGAAATAAAGTCCAAATTTCATTACGTTTCAATTCATTTCTTTTTTTTCTGATTTTATATTTTTAGAAGTAAGTCCAAAACGTCATAGCGTTCACCCTATGGGGATGCCGGGAAAAAAATCGCGGCCGGGCCATACCCATTTTATTCTTGGTATCATACCCCTGTATATACAATGCCACAAAAAACCGTTTCGCAGTGATGACGCAGGCTAAATGCATCTTCCCAGCTACACCACGTCAGATTCCATGCCTGATTACCACACAAAAAACGCAGCAATGACCAGTGACGTGAATACACTATGGATAGTTTGCAGAATATTATGCATATCGAAAAGTTGATTTTGTTATCATCCATGGATGGTGTAACATTTTTATTCCTACATGGTGTGATGCACTGCGAGTTCGTCGACGTCAAACCAGCACATTCCAAATCTCTATTGGTAGTGTAATCCTGAACAAACCAGCTCTAATCGCACAAACAACCAAATAAGTTCAGCCTCAAAAGCAAATAATCCACACGCTTGTTCAAAGTACTAAGTTTGTTTTCGTGAAATGCAAACACTATAGTGCCCATATCCTCTGCAGGGAACATCGTCGACAGCAGGTTTTCCTTCGTTGAACATGTGCAGTTTAAATAGTGATGGACTGTTGGCTGGCACCTTTTTAATCAGCATGTAGCATGATGTATCCAACTTCCTGATTTAAGCTGTGAGGCTCAACTAATGGAAACTTGCTCTTATGACTCCAATAAGAATTGCCATATTCAAAGTGTGTTAGTTTAAGCACGGAGGACGTATGATCGACTGTGTTTTGTGGGCTGAGGTTGATGTCGTGTTGGATTATGTGTTGCATGTTTGCGTTTATAAAGAAGGTATGTCGATTTTTGAAACATGTATACCCACTGTAACAAAAAAGTGATTAAAACACTGTTGGGCAATGTTACCTCATTGTTGGTTAATTAAGGTCCAGTTGAACAACTATTGAGAAGAACTTGCCCGGCAGTTTGTATGTTGATCAAAATTTGGCAAAATACCAACCAATTTGCCCAACTTTCTTACAGTGCCCGGAAATAAAACAAACGATTATCTCGACTTTAATACAGTTTACGGCATTATGTACGACATAGACTTATTTCCAGACTTTACAATTTCCCAAAGGGGTGGCAAGCGTGGCTCGTGTGATGTTAAAAACCAAAACAAATTGCTTCCTGCAACTGTCACTCTTGTGTGTTGCCCGACAGTCGCTCGTCAGCTACTGATAAGATTCTATATACATACATTTTTACAGAGGGCATAGGGCAGGGTCCTGTTGTTAGGGTCAGTGCCACAGTGTTTCTCCAGTTTAGGAGGAAATCACTCACAAGAGCGTGAAAAAATGGACCAGTTTATTCAACCTATATTTTCAGTATATCAAGGAGTGTTTCAAATGAAAAAGTAATGTGTGTAATGTTTGTTCCTTGCTCTTGTCTCTTTCACGTGATGCAAAAAATCAAGGCAATAATGTGCATTTCCCAACGTGACCGTGCAGTTGACATTTCATAGCTCATTGTGCATGTGGGGCACCAGGCATCAGACTTTTTTCCCATGCAGCTGATGGTTGGTGTGGTTTTTAAGGAGGGGGGGGGGGTACTAATTTGCCAGCTTTGAAAAGCACTGAATGTATGAGTTTTGCGAGTGACCTGTGAAATGTCCTTGATGACTAAGTTCTCATGATTATAGCAGCAGGGGGTTGGTGGGTTAGCCTGGCCCAAAAGTTCTCTTGGCCATGACACAAATTTTACTTGGGATCATATTGCAACTTTCTACTCCTCTCAAATGTCTGAACATTTAATATAGGCCTACAATTTATTTGTGAATCGTGTTGAAAAGTGCACATTTTTAAATTGTCCATGTTTTTCCCGACAAAATTGGGGGCCTTGCTGCTGTGACGTCATTTCAGGAAGACACTGGTACAGTTTTGGGGTTTTCCGTTCGAATTGTGAACCCAACATTATTTTGCTCATCGAAAACATTTGTGAGAAAACTGTTCTCGTTAGCTTTCTCTGTCATGTACTGATATAACGAATAACAGCAAACTATATACCCCAAATTCTGACAAATGTCCGTGCTGAAATAGCTGTAACATTGAGGTTCCTACAATTTTGCTCATCATTATCAAAATTCGCATTGGCATAAAAACTAAAAAAGGGCACCAATATGCGCCTAAAAGAGGCAAAAGAAAAATTGAAAATAAGGTTAAATGGGACACAGACGGTGCATTTATAAGGACTGTAGGAAAACAAGGCTACACTGCATAGGCCTTTGGGCCCCTGCATGTTATTGTAGCCATTAATTTGTTACATTTTTAGACTAAAACTGATCACAATGAGTAAAACCCATCAAAGTTATTTGATTTTATTGTTCATATTTTGTTGCTTAATGTGCATAGCACAATAACGATTCTTATGAGAGACATTCTTTTTGAATCCATGAAAATAAGTACTCCTTATGTGCCCGCAAAGTTACTTAAACGAAACTGTAATACAAACCTAATCAATTTTCAATATTTCTCATTTCTCATTATTAGGATGTCGTTTCACGTCAAGGGATCGGCTGCTACTGTCGTATTTCTCTTGTTTTTCCTGTATCCCATTATAAACTGGTTTCAATATTCAGAAATAATTACGGTGAAACCAGTACCCACACGCCCTCGTCCAATCACGCAGCGTCACTACTCTCACGTCAAGCCCCCAACCATCCAATCCAGAGCGCCAGCGCCGCCTGAGGCCCTCGCTGATTGGTCAGGCAGCCAAACGTTGATAACAATGAGAGAGCAAAGATGTCTTCCAAAAATGAACGTGGTTTATTTGAAAACGCACAAGACGGCCAGTTCGACCCTGCAGAACATTGTGTGCCGTTGGGGTGAGAGGAACAACCTGACCTTCGCCTTGCCGACTACTCGAGTTCACATCGAGTACCCAATGACACGGGAAGGGTTGGTGAAGTCCCCATCTGGAACTTACAATATTCTGGCAAATCATGCCAGGTTTGAACCAAAAGGTATTTTGTTTCTCGAGAATATTAAACTTTGAATTGCACACTTTTAATTAAGCATTCCCACGATAACTTGAATACTTTTGTAACTGAATAGCCTTATACAACACTTGCACTATTGAGAATGCGCGTTTTCACTTGCACTTATCTGAACATGATCAAACGATTATTATGCTTATATTTATATATAACACAAGCCCATGATTTATGTGCAATTAGGGCCGTAACATTCTCAAACTTTAGTGAGTGAGCATTCTCCCTTGAAACCGAAGAATGCCTGATATAAAAGCAAACGTTAAGTTACTATTTTATTTCCATTATTCATTGCAGCATTTAATGATATCATGTCGCCAGACTCTGTTTACATCACAATTTTGCGCCATCCGCACCAGCAGTACGAGAGCTACTACAACTACTTCCACTGTCAGGCGCCGAGGGTGTACGGAGCCTCCCTCCACAAATTCCTTGAAGATCCCCAACGTTACCTTGACTACGCCAGAAACAGGAATGTGAATAATCCACAGTGCGTAGACGCCATACGTAATCCACAACTATATGACTTGGGTTTCAACAGCGTCAGACGAGGTGAAAAGTCACCCGCCAGGTCCGCAACAGTTGATGAATGGATCGTTGTGCTGAACAAGTCTTTCGATCTCGTTCTGATTGCAGACTATTTCACTGAATCCCTAGTTGCACTAAAGCATACCATGTGTTGGGAAACTGAAGACGTTGTTGTCTTCGACGTGAACCGGCGACTTCCTTCCGCTACACCGTCAGAGACCCATCAGATTGAATATCTGCCCAAATTGATCGAAAGCTGGAACGCGGGAGACGTGAAACTGTACCAGCACTTCAACCGAACTCTCTGGAGACGGCTTGACCTGATTGGTCGGAGCGCCGTGGCCCGCGAAATTGCAGCCATTCAAAAGAGGACTCACGAACTAGTCGATAGGTGTCTTGACAACATAGAGTGGATATCAGACACGGAGTATCGCACTAAGACTGCGTACCAAACGCCACTGAAAAACATCGTTGCAAGTTACACCTTGAAGTCAGGAATGCGAAACGACCCGCTCTGTCAGAGATTGGCGCTGACCGCGCCCAATTATTTGGACTTCTTACGCCGAAAAATGAAGAGAGAAGTTTGACTTGAACATGCAGGGTATGCACGTGTATCGACACGATGTACTGATATAAACGCGAGCGCGTTCGCCAGGCGCTGTTCTAGAGCCAATTTTTTTTTTTTTGGGGGGGGGGGGGGAAAGGGTGGATCCAGTATTTTTTTTTCAGGGAGGCGTGCTGAAATGTAGACCGGTCATTTTTTCCGGACACTTAGACCTACAGAAATCAATAGGTGGGGGTGGGGTGGGGTGGGGGGGGGGGGGGCTCGTGCCATATTTTCAATGGGGAGTACTGATAAATCCTATACAATCAGGCACACTATATTAACTAATCTCGGAATATACAGCTGAAGCTGAGCTGAAACTTCATCAGGTTAGTTGTTCATCACCCTTCTTTAGATTTTGAGCACTTTTGTTGCTTCAAACGAACAAAATGCACAAATTACAAATGATGGACAATATCTTTAAGGACCGGGGAGCACAATGTGCTCCCCTCTAAAATCTTTTTTAAATAGCTCCGGAACGCTTTGGCCGATGGATATTTTATAAATACATGACATGGACATGTAAATGTTTTGTTAGTCAAAGTCATATTTTCTGTGCCCGAAATTATCAAGTTTCCACTAAAATGAATGACCACGTGACCAACCACAGTACATGCTGGGAATCCAATATGGCCGCCATTTGCGCGAAAAGTCGCTTTTAATTTTCACTTTTTTCGGTTTTGGGGTATGTTTGGGCAGTTCTTGCAGAACAAAAATGCAAATGACCATGAGTGCTTCATCACTGCCGATTTTTGTAGGAAAAATTAAATCATGGGACAAAATCACAAACAATGATGATTTGGCCGCCAAAAGTGGGTATACTTATAGTGCCCTCGATCTTCGAGGGTTGACTTTGAATTCAAAAAAATATTTCAATTGGATTGATATTGACCCAAAGAATCTTTCAGTGTACCTAAATTTGAAAGTATTTGATTATACAATGTAGAAATAATGCCCAATATACAGTTTTTGACCAAAATTTGGCAAAAGCTGGTAAAGCGCCATCTTGTGGCCACCACAGTGCAACGTACGACATGACGTCACTTTGTAGATTACCGACCAACTAACATTCCTGTCAATTTTTTGAGAAATTGAGAGTCGCATTTAGAAATGAGGAGCAGTGGACACACTTTGCCCCCAGTCCTAGTGAAAAGACTAAAAATACCCAGGTCCTGATTAGTCTGAGTATCACCCGTTATGGTCCAACGTCTGATGTCTGAGCAGTGCAAGTTTTATGCGACCCCGTGTGCGTGCAAGCCAATTCGAGTCGACTTTAGAGATTTGTGACGTCATTTCTTGTTTTGCATAATAAATGGCCGAATCTGCTCGCATACCATAGACCTTTGTTGCGCAAAGGTCTATTCCATAGACAGGGTCCTGATGGGTTTAATTCTATCAAAAATACATAACAATATAGGTTAGTTTGATAATCGATAATCACAAATGTTTGTAAATGTGTCTTTCAGTTTGATATTCGATATTCGACATTCACGTTTGTACAACAAACACGTGTGTTTTAAAATAACACAAAAAGTGACGTTGAAAATGCTGATGTTCGCGTACAAAGTCTATAAGGCGAAAGAACAGTTTTTCTCCAAAAGTTGCATTTGAACTCAAATTTCACTTCGAACAATTTTTACATCAAATTCGCTTGGCATTGGCGATATGTATGGTCAGCCCGGCATATCTCAGGACCTCGTGTTTGATTCGCGACACAGACAATAATATGCATTGGTAAAGTATTATGTATGTTGGCCACTAGTAGCACTATGTAGGCAATATCGGTGTTAATACCGCGATTGTATATGAGCAATAACCATATAATTATGTACGAAGGACGAATGAGGGTAAATCCGCTCAGATGAAAAATTCAGTAGTTTAGATGAAATCAGTGCAAGACACTTAGGACCTAGTTAAGGTTCTCGCACTCCTAAAATTAGAATTATCCAAACGACAAATTGGGAGAAATGGTTGAAGGGAAAAAAAACGTCCATAGAAGGATTTTTCAAACCAGGGATCTTTCGATCCATAATCTATCCACCAGGATACCATAGTATCTTTTATTAATTTGTTTTAATACTTAAGGTAATGTAGTTGCCTGAATTCTATAACAAGTGTTCTTTTTTCAGTGATACACATTATTTTCCTATCACAACCACGGTAGGCCTACTGAATTATTTATGAAAATGGTTTCGCCCGACTACGGACTTTGTTTGGTGCATTATATTCGAGTCGAGGTATTCGCCCTCAATGCTGATTTTCGATTGTTGCAATCCGACTGGTCGCAACCGGACCTTAAACGGTAAATGAGTATTGACCGTGTACAACTTCTACGTGGATTGACCATTATGGATAGCTGGTTGGCAATAAAATACATGCAGCCTAATACGACAGGAGAATGGTCGGGTTTCTTTGCTTATGAGTTCGGTTGTACTGTTTTTAATTCTAGTGGGTCACACACTCAAAGTTACGAAAGCCCATTAGCGCCACTGCAAGTATATATGTTGCGGATTATTTAATTCGTTATTACGGATTATTAATTCGTTATTACGGATTACTAATTCGTTATAACGGATTATTAATTCGTTATTACGGATTATTTAATTCGTTATTACGGATTACTAATTCGTTATAACGGATTATTTAATTCGTTATTACGGATTATTAATTCGTTATTACGGATTACTAATTCGTTATTACGGATTATTTAATTCGTTATTACGGATTACTAATTCGTTATAACGGATTATTTAATTCGTTATTACGGATTATTAATTCGTTATTACGGATTACTAATTCGTTATAACGGATTACTAATTCGTTATTACGGATTATTTAATTCGTTATTACGGATTATTAATTCGTTATTACGAATTACTCATACGTTCTGAGTCATACTCGGCAAGTATGGCACAGGAGTGCAAACGTTGTATGCAAAGATAGCGCCGCCTAGCGGCCCTGTATACACAGGCCCCTGGTCACGTGCTCTCCACGTGTGAGAACATCAGACCTAATTCGTAATAACGAATTAATAATCAGTAATAACGAATTAAATAATCCGTAATAACGAATTAAATAATCCGTAATAACGAATTAAATAATCCGTAATAACGAATTAATAATCCGTAATAACGAATTAATAATCCGTAATAACGAATTAATAATCCGTAATAACGAATTAATAATCCGTAATAACGAATTAAATAATCCGTTATAACGAATTAGTAATCCGTAATAACGAATTAATAATCCGTAATAACGTATTACACAATCTGTAACATATATACTTGCAGTGGCGCTAATGGGCTTTCGTACAAAGTATATGTAGAACAGAGTATTTTTGGTAAACCAATTAAAATTGGGACAACCAATTGAAATGCATTCAACCACTAATTTGGATCAAGGGTGGATCCAGAACACATTTTTTTTTTTGGGGGGGGGGCAAAAAAAATGTGTTCCCCCAAAAAGTGCGATCAAAAAATTACGGCGTGGGGTTCGGGCGCAATTGTTTGGATTCTAGATGCTCTGTGGTGCAATTATGAGGCAGTTTCTGACTAATAATAAGCACCTTGTCATCCATGCGCAATACTGTATACATTTCAAAATTTAAAAATCATACTGCGCACGCGCTCAGGTGATCCAATCAATTGCTTTAAATGGGAACTAGATGCATGCCTGTCCCCATAATTATTTATGGGGGGACCATTCTAAGAGAGGCCATTGGCATAATATATGCCGACCTAGGTTCCGATCGAAGTCCACAAATGATGGGATCGCATCATAATTATGCAGCTCGTTGAGATGTCGTTGTATGGCTGGGCCCAGGACGGATCTTTCTGGAGCCTCCGTCGCTGGTGGGCGCAGTCGACTTCAGTTGTGATGCCACAGCACATACTTGTTATGGGGACCGAAGAAGTTGTGGGGACAGCAGAAAGCCCAGGCCCCATGATAACTCGGTCCTAATTTGCCTAACAATAAAACAACCCGTCCGCCCGCGAATTTTAGTCCCAAACTACATTCACATGCTTGTTTAGCGCCCTCTACGATACTTTTATTTTTTCCCCAAGGACTTGGCGTTTTAGTGCGATAGCTCAGCTGGATAGGGTTGTGTTTTTGCACCGCGAGGTTTGGGTTCCAGTCACCGTTTTGTACTCGATTTTTTTTCTTCTAATTTGAGGCTTCGGAGGATTTTTTTAAAAAGGGAAATAAAGTCCGAATTTCATTACGTTCGAGTTTATATTTTCTTCTCATGTTTTAAGAGAAGTAAGTCGGAAACGCCATAGCGCTCACCCATACGCGGATGTCTTTTATTTAGGGGGGGGGGGAATTCGCGGCCCGCCCATCCCATGCCCTACGAGTTATTATACGCGCGCCCCCAATAAACACTCCCAAAATGCTACACAGCGCCATCTACAGTTCAAATCCAGCCAGTCCAAATTTGACAGGCCGCGCCGCCGGCGTACACAGTTTGATTCGGAAGCTCATTTCGTGTGGTTGAATATGTCTTGGAAACTACATGTATAATTAGGGAAATAATGTTCTTTGATTAGTTTTGATCTACAGACACTACATATTGCTTCTTCATTCAGACAGTGGCCGAAATCATAGAGAGAGGTGAAGTCAGCCAGTGAACAACTCATTTTTAGCTCAGCTCGGTCTCAAGTATACCGCGCGCGAGGGAAGCATTCAGCCGTGATTTGACACCTGTGGACCGTTGATGATGCATGCCAAACCAACTCTTCATGAGGCAGGTAATACATTATGTAGAATGATCTCTGATTCAACGCTATGATTGGAAAAAATTCCGTACTCGGACGTCACTTTTTTCAATTAATTTTCTAGCGCCAAAAGTTACATCTTTTATGGTTATTCCTCCACTTTCCCTCCTCTACTCTCACCCTCTCCTTTCCTTAATTTCTGTTTATTAATCAGTCAGTTACTTCATCGAGATTCGAACCTCTGACGCTTGCTTGATACACGAGACTCTTAACCGCTAGGACGCGCACGATCGCTGTTGCAATAATCAATCTTTGGACGTATTTGAAGTATCCATTGAAAGAAACTAAATATTCATGAGAAAATAAATATTCATAATGACGTATTGCACTATCATTGGCAGGCTCATACGACGTCATGGTTGTTGATGTCACGTGTATAACATACCGCTGTCTTTCAGCCACTACAATCAGTTTTGACCGGCTGCTTCAAGTTAGTTCTGCACAACGTATGCATCCAAAATGTGCTCTAAAAACACATTTTGAGTAAATTGTTTTCACCTTTACACAGCTTCCTGGATTTCTCTTGGTTCAAATGACAAGGTGAGGTGACAATTAATATGTTTGGCAGCAGATAAATTGACGTCCGAGTACGGAACTTTTCCCCTCAAAAATACTGGCTGTGCTCTTCAACCAAGTTGATATAGGCCTATTCTTACAACGAAGTGGCTATCGTTACAGCAGCCGTTGTTTAGCGCCCTCTACGATACTTTTTTGATACACACGCCGGTAGTGAAAGTCCATCACTGATTGTAAAGTTGATCACCTGTGTGCAAGACTATCACTAATTTCAAAGTTGATCACTGGTCGCGAAAGACTATCACTAATTGCAAAGTTGAGTAGCGGACGCGAAAGACTATCACTGATTGCACAGTTGATCGGCGGTTGCGAAAGACTACCACTGATTGCAAAGTTGATCACCGGTCGTGAAAGACTATCACTAATTGCAAAGTTGATCACCTGCGTGAAAGACTATCACTGATTGCAAAGTTGATCACCAATCGCAAAAGTCCATCACCGATCGCGAAGTGCATTGATCACCAATTCGATGATCACATTAAATGCCTCTTTGGCGTTCCATAGCCTACTATACAACCACTTCAAATCCCTCCTCACTTCGCATCCAGCTAAAAAACAACCTGCTTTCTAGGCCTATAGTAGACCCGTGAACGTGGCTTGTAAACTACGCCACGTTCACGGGTCTAGGCCTATAGTTGCTCTCCAACTACTGTACGAAGTAAAAAAAAAACAATTTTAGATGATTTTGTACTTGTCATGAATGTTGTAATGTCTGCAGTTTAATTTAAAGGTATAGTCCATCATGTGTAATTTGTGCATTTTGTTCGTTTGAAGCAAAAAAGTGCTCAAGATCTAAAGAAGGGTGCTTAACAACTAACCTGATGAAGTTTCAGTTCAGCTTTAGCTGTATAGGCCTATATGGAGAAAAACAACATTCTAGGATCTCGATTTCAAATCAAAAGTTGCTGTATCATGTTTTGAATTGGGCCTGAATTCAGCGTCCGAGACACGTTCTCACTGAGCCGATTGCAGCTACGCGATGTCGCGCACTGATCCGACGAATTATAGCAACCGTGCGTACGTGTGCATCGTGCCAATGCTTACATGTAGGTGCGCTTCGCCGAATAACAAAACGAACTACTATTTTGAATTTCCTACGGTGCATCTTAAGAAGCACCATTGGAAAGGCCTTCTTTTGTTGATTTCTTCAAAATGACAGCATGCCAGAAAGAATATTTTTACAGGGAGTTTTTCCCCTTACTATCTTTCAACCAAGCATGTTTTTAAACAATAGTTACGCCAGTTACTTTTTGGATAGCTGCAAATGATGGACTCTGGCTTAATACAGTGTATAACTGTTCATTGTAGCTAGCCTGTAGAGGGCATAATTACTAGTAACGTTACTCGCTAGGCCTATTTAGCCCAAATTTGAGCTTGGATCCACTACTTGAAGCTAAGCATGGAGCTATAACAATTCACCTAAAAATCACATACATTTGTAATTTAAGCAAATTTAAGAAACGGTTAAAACTTTGTAAAAACATCAATTCTCCTGCTTAATATTCATTACGCCTAATCTACATGTATATGAGTTTGACTCGCATTGTCATTTCTGATCTAAACTGTAACGTTTATGTAAGACAAAAGTCATCTGAAATCTTACTTGAACTTTGTGAAGAATGAACAACATGATTGAATGTTTAATTTTTGCCCATTCGTGCAACAAAAACACTTGGATTAATGTACATTGCAATGAAACTTGTGACAATGACAGTGTAAAATAAATGTCACACTGGATGCATACAGTTTTCATCAGCAATGTCCCTCATCTCTCATGCATTTAGAAAACCCGCTAGGAAGCCAATTGCATGTCCATGTAGGCTTTCCCCACAAGACTTTGTACTCCTGCCTAGTATAGAAACTACAGTTGCACCACACTTATAATTGCATGTCAGTCGCTCAATCATCATTGTTGCCCTGTATACCGGTACATGTATTATGGGCTCATACAAAAATGTATGAGATTGTATAAAACAGCTTGTTAAATGAACAGAAGTCCCTAATTACAATCTAGTTCTGTATTGTACCGTTTGTACGCATACTGTATACGGTTAGTTATTTGAGACAGACCTGTATTGACCATTCCATTGTTTCACAACATGTGCGCTTAATGCATTCATGCATATTGGAACTGTACTACTAAACATGCTAAATGGAAAATGACAGCATCCAATTAAAGGGACACTAGGTCCTGGTAGGTCCTGGTAGGTCCTGGAACAGCCCAATTGGGCTACAAAACGCGCTTTGAACGAGATGATGTTAATCAGAAAAAACATTTAAAAGTAGGATATAATTTATAAACATCCACACAACTATCCTTTCAAAACTGGGTGTTTTAGTGTTATTCCTGTATTAGCGTGCGAGAACGAATTTCGGGGTCCACTACTGCGACCCAATAAATTCGAGCTGTTTGGATGCTAGTTGTGATTTCATTCGTAAAGTGTTCGCCTTTTGCGGGCGTTGAAGAAACCACATTTTTGGCATTGATGGTGATTGGTCACCGTTGTTCCCGAGGCACACAGCGTGTATACATATCGTACACTGAGAGCGACACGAAAAACGTATTCGTACTCCGTCATGTCCGATGTAAACAAGCGGTTTTTTTTTTGTCTTTTCTCGGGAAGGGTATTAGGTTGGTTTCCTTTCAACCAGATGTTTGAAATAGGCTAAGTACATGTAAACAATCTAAAACATACAATTTTCGGGGATTTCAGGACCTAGTGCCCCTTTAAAGCCTTAAGTCTAATCCTGCTTTGAAACAAAGACAAGTTCACATGCTTATACCATGTTAACCGGTACATGTATTGTGCTTTAAATCATTATCAAAGGTCTTAAAGCGCTTCGGCAACTATTACCCCCATTCATCAGGCTATGAGACCAGTTTTTGCTGCAGCTCGAGATTAGCACATTCTGGTCTCTACCTACACAGGTATCCATTGACACTCCTGGGTGGAGAGAGCAATTGTAGTAAACTGTCTTGCCCAAGAACACAAGCACCATGTTTGCCGTCAGGGTTCGAAACCCACGTACTCCATGTATGGCACATGAGTCGAACACTGTAACCATTGGACCACAGCACTCCACGATCATGTTCATTTAATCCAATCATACATGATTAAATAAATGCAGTTAGAAGCAGTTTATAAAATCATCCTTGTTTGAACATTTCTTTGTGAACAAAAAATCTGACATTACGTTTTGTCACGGAAACTTTCCGGTTCAATTTGATAGCTCACTTGAGAACACTGTGTAAGAAATAATGAGAGCTCAAGGGCTGAAGCTCTCGAAACCCCAAAACTAAAGCTAAAAGCTGCACTTAGCAAGATTTTCAATGGGCATTGCAACACACAATTGAATGGGGGACCTGCATTATTGCATTCAATTATGTGTTGCAATCATAGAGCTGTATTAAATTACTAGAGTGCTAACTCGATGTACATGTACAAAGTAATGCGTGATGGGCGCATCCATGTTTGTGCACAAACCTATGGAAAATTCGAAATTTTGTATGCGTTTGTATTCCATACCGGTGTGTCATCGAAGCCGATACACCAAAAACCGAAACGCACGATCAGCAAATGAGCATTTCATTTTGCTCTACGCAAACAGCGCAAAGTGTGCGCGTCCTTCCGCTGCAGATGCTTTTGCCGTGACAAGCTTAAGTTGTTTGCGTATCTTCTACTTGCGCGTTGCATTTAGAGTACACTTTCAAAATTCAATCCATCTATTTTGATTGTTTATTTGTGTTCTACAAACACGCACATAAATTCAAAATGTCTGCGCCCAGAGCGACTTCAAAGCATCTCCGCGCGCGAGAATGAGGAGTTAGCGCTCTAGGAATTTAATAGAGCTCTATGATTGCAATGCCCATTAACAATCTCGCTAAGTGCAACTTTTACATGTAGTTCTGGGGTTTCAGGAGCTTCAGTGCTTGCACTCTCGTTATTTCTTACACAGTGTTCCCAAGTGAGGTATCAAATTGAACTGGAAAGTTTCTGTAACAAAACGTATGTTTTCGAATTTTTGTTCACCGAGAAATGTCCCAACAACGGTGATTAAAAACACTGCTAAGTTTCTTCTTGTGCCAGGTGTGCATGTATGTGTTTCACACTGACCCATAACAAGCGATATTCCGTGCCTACGGTACACGCGAAGCAAATAATGAGATACTATGATGTCAGTAGACTTATCTGGTGTGCTAATTTGTATCTGTTCACTTGCTGCATGTACATGTTTACCTCAGAAACATTGATGAAATAGAGTTCAAGCAGTGAAGGAAAACCTGTTTGCAGTGTTTACGTACCGTACATGTGTACATTTACATGTACATGTATGGTGCCGTATCATTTAAGCCTCATTCGTCCGACGCTTGAACATTAGTCCAACGCCTCATATGTCCGAAATTTCGGAATTATGAGGCGTCGGATTTATGAGGGATCAGACCTATGTATTCCACCTCATATATGTAGCTCCGACGCCTTATGAGTCCGACGCCTCATACAAGTCCGACGTTGGACAAATGAGGCGTCTGACCTATGAGGCGTCGGAGCTATATAGACCTTTGCAAAGAAAGATTCATGTATACTGTCCGACAAGGCAAGAACAAGATTTACCAAAAATTATACAAGGATGTGAGCGCGCGAGGTTGTCTTCGAATGTGAGAGTGCGCACTGTGCATAGAATGAACTAACTAGTCGCGACGTCAGAGTCTGCCAGCGCACAGTTTTCTGGCACACGGGTTAATGCCACTGGCGTAAATTTGAGGGGGGTTGGGGGGTTGGATGGGGTGTGGTGCATCCACTGATCTCAATAAAGAGATCAGTGGGTGCATCCCTTAATGTGAACGAGTAATCTCTAACTCTAACACTTGGTGGCGCTAACATTCTGACATTTTATGTGATGTTTGTATTATTAATTATGGCTGTCGGACAAACAAGGCGTCGGACTTATGAGGCATCGGACTTATGGACTGAAATAAAAGTAAATTTAATTGTCGGACCTACATTGTACGAGGCGTCGGACCTACATGTATGTACATGTATGAGGCGTCGTACCTATGGGACGTCGGACCTATGTGGTGTGGGACCTACAATGTACATGTATGAGGCGTCGTATTAATGGGCCTTTATTTAGTTTGGGAATGAGATTTTGTCAGACTTATGAGGCTTCGGACCTGCATGTATGAGGCATCAGACTTAAGAACAGACCCCACATGTACAGTGCTACTGCATTACCTGGGAAACCTGAGTTGTACTTTAACAAAACAGGGACATTGATTGCCTAACTAATATAGGCCTACTAATATCAGAAAGTTTCCGTGGTAAGAAAAAACTCACTCATTGAAAAACAAGCTTGATAAAGTAAACACTGTAGAATCAATACTGGGAAAATGTTTGTGAAATCACCTAAGGGAAAGAAAAATGGCAATTTTAAGGATGAAGCGTGATAATATTAAAAAGATTGAAATTTTTCTTAAAACTTAAGTTGAGCTGTGAACTTTTGCACCTGCACCCAAACCTTCTTCAACTAAATACTTTCCTACTGCACATTTCTTGTTAGAATTTTTGACTTCCAGCATACCAGGTGTTGAGTACCGGTACAACCTACAATGTGCATGGATACAAGTGTGCACCGTGTTTCATATTGCGCCTCTTTTGTTCGTACTTAAACATTTTAGGAAGACCTCTCATATGTTTTGTACACGATCGCCAATTAGGGGACCTTCGGGAATTGGGGACCCTATTGTCCGCTATTTTTCGACATCCCCTTTTGAATGCAGAAACAAACTCTTGTACACTGTTAAATTTAATCAAACAAATAATTTGTTGTGACCATTGATCTACATTTATGCAATTTTTTCGGCAGCTTTCTCTGGCAATCCTGGATTGGTCCGATCTATGCTTGATCAAGGAGAGGTGAGTAGATATTGCCATTACTGGCCTTTTGCAAGATACCGGTACTACTGGCCCCCAATTTTGGATGGGGGGGGGGTGGGGGGCAAATAGTTCATTTGTTCATCCACGTATACATGTACAGTATGCATATCCTGGGGGGGGGGAGAGGGCAAATACAAATGTTTCCATAGTGGCTGGGAGTAAATTCCTTTACCACACCCTAGCTCCCCCGCACCAAAGTTTCTACAACCTACCAGTATGCTAGCCTTGGCACTCTTCTGCAAGTGTCTTCAGTGTAGAGTGGAGTCCCAAATGTGGCACACGTTGACTTTCCCCCTCTCCCCCCCCCCCCCCCTCCAACAAACAGAACCCCCAAAAAAATCCTCCTAAGGGGAGTGCTGCGGCCTTGTGGTTAGGGCATTGGATTCTTGGTCTGCGGGTAAAGCTGCAGGTTGTGGGTTCGAGTCCAGCCTGGGGTCATGGTGCATGTGCCCTTGGTCAAGGCACTATCTCTCCACCCAGCACCCAGGAGTAAATGGGTACCTGTGAGGGCAGAGATGGTTATTGTGATTGAATTAGCTTGCGCCTATCAGGCAGCATCGAGCTGTATACTCCCCAGGGAGCTGAGATGGTATTTGGAATGTTTAATTGGCCCAACGATCAGGGGTAATAATGATGTAAAGTGCTTTGATCTTAGTTAGATGTGCTATATAAGAACCTGTTATTATTATAAGTCACAACATTTTGCGTGTAATTGGTTAAACTTAATTAGTAGCCCCTGTTCAGGCCTTCAATTAATTTAACTCAGCCTGATATCGTCGTATCCCTACAATGCGTCCCAGCTGCGACGGGTCCTGTGATCCATTTCACGAAACATGTCGTAGACGCGTCGTAGTTGGTGTATTTATAGCACAACTCGGTGACTGTTTGATGTACATGTATTAGTCAACATACATGTACAGTAAATAGTTGTCTGATATTCAACAAAGAGTCGTCGGATCTCCCCTAGAAATTTGTCAAAACGTAAAACAAAATGGCGGCCTTGTGATGCAATTTTAAAGGAAAACAAGCTCTCAATGGACTATAAACATGTACTTTGAAATTTTGCCTGCAATATTCCAGGCTAATTCATAATTATTCAATGAATTTTCTATTTACAACTTTACACACATAACCTCAATATTATAATCTAAATGTAATGTTTATGGCATTAAACTGGCTAAGAAAATGACTCTTCTTATTTTGCTATTACCACTAGACAGCTAACTTGCGATGTGTTTATAAAGCCGTTGTCAAGGAACTTACAACGCAATCAACTCATGGCATGTTTCGTGAAATGGATTATACGACGGGTCGCAATTTGCGACGTGTTACACATCGTTATTCGAGTTGCGATGCGTCGCAGTGCTTCGTGAAACTGGGTGCTGGTCTACATGTACAGGTACATGCGCACTAAAACATGACTAATTCAATCATGCGCTAGATGGCTTCTATTTTTATCTCAAAAAAAAAAAAAAGTGAAGAAGAGCTGTGCCTGCTCCCATTTTGTATCAATTGAATTAATTGTGCTTTAGGCTGATTTGATAACATTTTCCCCTGTCTTTTGTGTGTGTCGACCATATGCTCTCCCCTTATAGCACTAATTGCCGTCAGAAAGTGCGATCGTTGAGGGATATTGTCATCTTGTGAAGTAGATGCAAAAAAAAGAAAAGCTTTATGGTCGTACATTAACGGAAACCCTAAAAAAAATCTCTAATTGCGCATCGTGTACGGTATATCCTATTGTCGTGAAGCCGTGCATCTATAAACAATTTGATCTTTAACGGATGGCGAAACCTCAATGAATTATTGACGATAGGCAAACTGAAGGTATTGTGGTGGAAAAAATTGCGTGCCGCGTACAATTGACTCATTAAAAATCAATAGGCAAGGCTTGCTTTCTGGGCAAATTGAATTTGTTGCCGTGGAAGCGAAGGAACTGGTTAGATTAAGTCTTCTTTTTTTTTTTAAATAGATGCACCTATTTCTGACTGCATCAGGAATTGATTGAAATGCTTTGAGAAAGATTCTTTGGTATGGTAGTGTGTCGTTATGATGGTCTTTGCAGATCTGGCAGATTTTTCGCAAATAAAAATGGCTTTCGGAAAGGTTAATACCCACGCATTTTGAAAGAATACAAAAACCTGATAACTACATGTATAATTAATGAACTACATCTGTTGTACATGTACATTGTACAGTATGCATGAACAGTTTGAAACTCTAATGTTTGTGTTGTCACTCTGCACTCATGTCACCAGAGACATTTTGAAGTGAAACTTAAAGGGAAAATACAACATTTGCAAACATCAAAAAATAAAACTACCAAATCATTTTGAAATACCTTGCTGGACTGTTAGTAAATGACTTTAAAGCATCCTGTAAAATCATGGCACCTGGTATACTGTCATTTTCAAGAAAAGTGGTATTTTTGTATCAATTTCCAACGCTGATCGGCCGATCAGCGTTGGAAAAAACTGGCTTTTTTCCCCAAATACTGGCCCCGATTGACCATCGCACTTGTTTGCAATCGATTACAAACCTATGAACGGGTACCAGCCAGCTAGACTAGTTCCCTGACCTTACAATTCCCCAATGTATGTAAACTGCTATGTTTCTTCTTATATGGAGTCAGGGAACCAGACTACAGGAAAATGATTGTTTTTCTTGGTTTTTATAGCATTTTCGAACCCAAAACCTCAAAAAAGTCAGTGTAACTATATTTGCTATATATTTCCAACCCCCCAATTCTATCCATTTCTGAAAATTACAGCAAAAGCAAATTCCCTTTAAAGTGTTAACAGTGTGCATGTTGACAGAAAATAAATATTGTGCTACAGCCATCTTTTGCTAGCCAAAATGTAAACCAAGATAGGTCCCATCTCAAAGAATGCTTCAGGCCTGGTGAAGTTGTCTGTACACCTCCTTCTTGTCATCATTGTAACTTGAGATGCAACACATTGTCTGCATTGTAGCACTTTGTGAAATATCGCCTCCATCTCGAAGCCCTTGAGTGCAAATTTATGCAGTGGTGGGCTTGTTAACATGATTGGACCGTTCTAAGCGTGTTTTGCAAACCTTGATCGCAATTATTTGACTCTACAGTGGACATGTTCATCCCTGTGTGCCCTTGGCATTCACTATTACGCTGATTTGTGATAGAATTACCCTGAGCTCTGTGCACTAATCCAGCCTTGAGTACCGCTGGCTTGTGTGCATGGCTTTGATGTCCCAAGGGAAACAATGCTAGGAGAGACAGGCATAATTGACCTGAGGGGGGCTTGTTTAATGATCGTACAGAAAATCTTACTTTGCTATAATTTACCTACATGTACAGGGTATGCAAGGATGGTCAATTTCTTTTGCAAATTAGTTATTGTTATGGTGATTTTAACTGCATACTGTACATGTACAAATGTATATATAATATGTACATGGTATATACAGCCAAAATTGTATTCATTTTTATTTTATTACACTTTACACCATGTTCACTGGCAAAATAAAAATATTAAAACACACCAAAAATAAATAGTAAAAACATGTATATAAGGCCGAGTAAAAAAAAAAAATAGTTGATCGTCCGGGCTTTTTCAAAATGAGGAGGATGAGGGCCTTTTTATTTTAATTTTTTTTCCAAGATGGCCTAAGTATTTAAATTAAAAAAGGCCACCAACTTTGGTTCAAAATGACCGCCAGCTGTTAATTACATTTAGCTATCCTAATAGTAAGTAGAGTCAAAGTATTCATGTTAAAAAAGATGTTCTTTGTATTTTATCAAAGCGAAATACAAGAAAAAGTTAGCTTCTGTAGTTGGGGAAAAAAAACTAAAATAAAAAAACAAAAAGGTTGCGGCTTCAAAAAAGGAGGCGGGCTGCGACAATCAACTTTTTTTTTTTTTACTTAGCCTGATAGGAAATGAATAAATTATAACAAAAGCCAGTGAGTGGCAAGGAGGAACAGGTGGCACGTGCATCTCTACAAGGCCATCCTACCAACAAATCCCCAAGTACAGTATCAGAATCATACATTATTAGAATTTGTACAATGTACATAATTTCAAAGCAATAGAGGCTTGGCTGTACAGGGCGAGTAAAAAAATAAAAAATAAAAAATGTCGGGACTTTTGTTTTATTGAAGTTCTGCATGTAGCACTTTCAAAATATAGTATATATAAAAGCCATATTCATAAGCTTTCTTTTAGTACAAGAATCATTCAAATGTGTACTTTTTAAGTTACAGAATTTTAAACACAACCACCGTTTTAAAGTTCTGTCCATGGATCACAAAAAAAAGTGTGCGTTCTTTCAGCAAAACGAAAACAATTCACGCACATCTCTATGTGATTTGTTTTCGATTTGCTGAAAGAACACTGAACTTTTTTGCGATCCGTGGACAGAACCTTAAAACGGTGGTTGTGTTTACAATTCCGTAACTTGAAAAGTACATGACTGATTTGAATAATTCTTGTACTAAAAGAAAGATTATGAATTGGGCTTTCATATCCTAGATTTTGAAAATGCTACATGCAGAACTTCCCTAAAACAATGGTCCCAACATTTGGTTTTTTTTTTTTTACTCACCCTTTAGAGTCAAACACAGGCTGGTGTGGGATTCTTATGGATGTGGATGAGCTAATGAATCCTTTAAAAAAAAAACAAAGTTCAGATAGCATCATGTACATGTAAGTTGGCAAGTACATACAGAGTGTACCAAAAAAAAGTGCAACATTAAAAAAAAAATTAATTAAATCTGTCTAATGTGTTTTTTTTCTCATTGAAATTATATATTACATTATACATGTATACAGCCTGACTATTTCTCAGTCCACTCCTTTTTACCCCATTCCAGTTGGGTCCTATAGATCAAATCAATTAAGTAAAAAGGTGTAAATTTTACTTGGGCCACTCTCACCTGTGATGTCACCAACTACAATGCCTACCGGTACATATCAATGCCTATTCAATGCTTAAATTCAGCATGTCCAGGCGGGAGAAGCCCAAGTAAAATTTACACCCTTTCACTAAATTTATTGTATTTCTGGATATAGGGCCCTACATGTAATAGGGACCCATATCGAATGGGTTAAAAAGGAGTGGATTGAGAAATAGTCAGGCTTAACATGCTTAATAATGTATATATACATGTACATTGTACACTGTATAATTTCATTAAAGAAAAAAACATCAGACACTTTAAATTATTTGTTTTCTGAATGTTGCAATTTTGTTGGCACACTAAATGTATGTACATGCACATGCCGGTTGGTGTTGGGGCCTGAGGACGTACAATTTGTATAAGTGTAGGTCCCTGAAATTTCCCACTTATACCTGTTCCGATTTCATTATCCAGGTACATTGCGATGTACAGTACATGTATGAGGAAATCAGGGTTTTTTCCAGTAAGAAAAAAAGTAGTATTACTTCTTCTCTATTGTAAAGAAAAAAAGTCTTATTAAAGGGAATATACAACATTTGCAAACATCGAAAAATAAAACTACCAAATTGTTACGAAATACCTTACTAGGATGTTGGTAAATGACATGCTAAAGCATCCTGTAAAATTATGGCACCTGGTGTGAAGCCATTTTCAAGAAAATGGTATATTTGTATACATTTCCAACGCTGGTCGGCCGACCACCGTTGGAAAAACCTAACTATTTTTCAATTACTGCTCCAAATTTACCATTTGTTTTAGTCTAAATTTTGTTTTGCTAGCTATTGGTTCCATGTTCATGAACGGGTGCAGGCCAGCTAGACTGGTTCCCTTACCTTACAATTTTCCGGTATTTTTGATCCATTTCATCTTTAGTGGAGTCAGGGAACCAGACTACTTGAATACTTTTGTTTTTCTTGGTTTTTCCAGCATTTTCGAACACAAAACATCAAACATGTCAGTGCAACAATATTTGATCTATTATACTAACCCCCCAAATAGTTCATTTCTGAAAATTACAGCAAAAGCCAATGTTGTACATTTACTTTAATTATGACAAATTATGGTAATTTATAAAATTTGAATAGATCTAAAGAAAAAGTGAAGACATTTCTGTCAGTCAGAAGCCCAATTTTATGATGTCATTATGAGTCCATTTTGAAGCCAGTGATGTAAACATTAAAGTTGCTCTACTCCAGCTCTTGAACATTTTCAACTTTTTCTCAGAAAACCTTCTTATTATCTATTTTGGATGTTTTCAACCCTCTGAAATTACATTTGTTGTGGGTTGCTTTTGTGTTCATAATGCACAAAGGATGTATACGCCTACATTTGTACATGTACATGTACATGTACTTATATGTGAAATGCAGTTAAACACAAAATATATTTATCAGGATGAAACTCAAAACTTGCATGATTGATGAGGAGAGCAACTTTAACTACAGAAAAGTGACCTTTATGATTTTCCCCCTCCTCCTGATGTGATTTCATCTGATTAAACATCCCAGGATCCAGACTTGAGAACCTCCCATGGCCAGACAGCATTACACAGAGCAGCAATGAATGGTAACATGGACTGTGCCAAGGTCCTGATCAGCAGAGGTGCTCAGACACACTTACAAGACCAAGCAGGTATGGTACATGTGTATTAGTCTTGGTCCAAAAGTGTCATTGATTTGGATTTTAGCACCCTAATCAGGCCTGCCAACTCTCACGCATTGAGCGTGAGACTTGCACATTTCAGGTTAGTCTCAGGCTCTCACGCCCACACGGAATTTCTCACGCAAATAAAAAATGTTTAAATGATATGATCTTTTACTAAAAAAAAAAATTGGTGGGCAGAAATTGCCTCAGATCGCACCCCAGAGCATCTAGAATCCAAAATTTTCTGGGATCAAGCGGGCCCCGCCCAAACCCACGCCGTTAGGGCTTCACGCATCGCACTCGCATTAGTTCTGATGAAGCTCCATCCCCAAATTCTCACTCTCAGCTCGTACTCAAAGTTGGGAGCCCTGCCCTAAAATAACCGGTCCTTGACAAGCGCAGTAAAACTGCCATGATTGCAGAGGTCCCTTTCAAAAAGATGAATCAAATCCAGTCTTGGGATTTGATTCAGGCACACTCACATTACAATGTATACTTGAATTTGGTTTGCATGAGGTGTGCTCAGAGTTTTCTGGGTATCACTGGCAAAGTTCCCAAGGTTGGATTCGATTAATCTTGTTGATAGTGGCCTCTACCGCCGCAGCGGCTTTACCATGCTTTTCAGGGACTGCAAATAAGGGAATAAAGACCACATTCAGTCTTTTGCCAAGACTACTATGGCATGCCTAGGGATCCAAATGTAATTTGGAAAACATGCAATGTAGCCCCACCCTCCCCCCCCCCCCCACCCCCACCATTTTTTTTCCAAGAGGGAATAAGCCGCGTGCATAGAGCTACCGGTACATGTACATGTATATATCACTACTAACTAATTCAACTACTACATATAGTTACGTGCAGTTTGCAATGTAGCCTTCCGGGCGCACAAACTTAGGGAAAGCTTGAAATTTTGTACAGCTATTTTTACAATGTACATACATTGTATCTGCATTGAAATTCAAAACTGATGTGAAATAGCTGATCAGTAGATGAGAGTGTTATATTCCTCTCTGTGCAATTAGCACTGCGTACAAACACTTCCCGTTTTGTTTTTCCTACTTATACGAAACTGCAGCCAAGTTTGTGCTTTCATGGTGCGTTGAAACCTGAGGCTGGTTAAATTCCATTCCCATCTGATATTGAGATGTTATACTAAGTACATGTACGCGTCTTTGTTCAAAACGTCTTAACGCTGTGCGGAATATACCAAGTATTTGATAATCCACCGAATGTCCAAATAGCACTTGTTTTTTTATTCAAATATATTTGGAAAATGTGAGTAATCAAAAGGAGATCATGAAAAACATCCATGATGATCTCTCAAGTAAGTGGCGTGGCTTTATTTTTTGTCAATTGCTGAAAACCACTGCGCACGAGAGCTTACATGAGGACTACATTGAGCTAATACATGTATTAGCTCAAATTACTTCTTTGAATAATTTGTTCAAATATCAGCCATTCCACTACTTGTGTTATAGGCCTACTATTTTAATGAGCTCTTTTTCAGGCGCCACCGCCACAAGTCCTGATCAGTGGCTAGTATACAAATAACGAATGTTTGTGAGTGCGATGGTAAGAATAATTTCATGAGGTGACAGATTGAATGTTCTATTCCACGAGGCGAAGCCGAGTGGAATAGAACATTCAATCTGTCACCGAATGAAATTATTCTTTCCATCGCACGAACGTAAAACATTCGTTATTTGTTTTATACAACACCTGAATAAATTCTCGTCATTTGATTGGTAAATTATAAACTACAATTTATTTTGATTTTAAAGATGTTGAACTACCCCTTCACGAAAATGTTTGAACCCAACACTGTAGCGCTGGCTCTTTGGAACAATACGCGCTACGCTGAACGCGCACACCAGCATGCATTTTGCACACAAATACCGCGTCATGGAACAAGCGCAAAGTGAAACGGTATAACGCATGGGTATAACGCATGGTCGCACCGTGCATTATACCAAATAATAATATGTCACGTGATCTACAATTCACCAATCAGATGACGGGGATTTATTCAGGTGTTGTATAATATAGGCTGATGCATGTTAAATTTCATTAGCGCATGTCAACTTGATCAAGTCTTGGGTAGAGTAATCATGACATGAGTAATCGAATACTAAAAAATATGGGGGGGGGGCACAACCTTCAAATGTCTGCGCAATGAATGAGTCCAAAAGTATTCTATATATGACATGTATGATGAGGAGTTAGCACTCATCAAGTAATTGACACATGTAGCTCTATTGCCATGTCATTCCCCCGCCCCCCCCCCCCCCAGATTTGTATACAAGTAATACAAGAATACACCCCAATCGTAACCTCACTTGTCCAAATTAGCATGCGGATTAGTCTTACGGCTTTTGGACGTAAATATAATTTGAAATAAAAAATGCACTGAAATTTTGTAAAATTGTTACGTAACGGTATCTTCAGACATTAGTCAAAGGATATCTACATACCGGGTACATCATGCATGTACATGTAAATGTACATGTACTTTGCAATGTAATCAACAGTCTTTGCAAATTTCCAGCATTAGGAATGTTTCGTGTACCAAGTTAGGATTGACAGGCTTTCAAGTCACAGTGTTTTATTATACTTTTGTCAATCCTGGCCAGCTTGGATTGGATTGTTTTTGTTTAGTTTTTGTTTACTTTTGTGCATTGCTTGTTGTATCTTGTAATTTGGCCGAATGAATAATAACATAAAATAATAATAACTTTCTTCCATCCCAATCCCTCCTTCCCCATTTACATGTACATGGACATTAAACAAAATATTAAATCAATCAGCAAACAAATCTGGAGCAAACTGTGGTAAAAAGGAAGGCATATAATATTGTAACGTAATGATAATTAATTCCAAATTTGATCTTTTGTAAAAGTTCCCGTCTGCACCTCCACACCACCTACATTAACATTGTACACGTTCTCATTTTACACGGCTTTCCCAACTACACTGTACTCACCTACCAGTACACGTACCCTCTTATCATGTCTCTGTATCAAGCACTTCCTACAATTTGCATACCCACAAAAGGGCCCATTTAAGAGCATAAGGTGAAAAGCTTTTGATTTGTGTCTAAAAAGAGCCCTGTAAAACATTTAAAAAAGAATTCCCGAGAGAGGAACTCAGCCCAAGCTGTCCCAGGTACAACATAAAATGCATTGAAAATTGGCATGAAATTGGAATGTACATGTGCGGTTGCCATGGCAAATTCTCCTGTTTCCATAGCGACGTCTGAAATCCAACTCCTTCAGTTTTTCTTCTTGAAGGAGCCCCTTGCCAATTTTCTTGAGTCGATCTTTCTATCACTCAAACCGCTCCGTCCTTCTCTTTCCCTGTGGATATTCAATTTGTGACTACATGTACTAATCTGTGTACATGTACATCAGTACATGCACATGTACATGTAATTCTTGGTTAAAATTTGGGTCAAAAATTAGGTTTTTTCCATCCCAAGGTGTCCCTTAATTGCGTTGGAATATTCAGAGCCTGGGGCCATATGGCCATTGGGAAAATAACTAGTTGACAACAGATCCGACCCGTTTCTTTGTCTGCTCATCTTACACTGAGTAGGTGTATTTTATTATTGCAGCACTCAGAATGATTGAAGCAAGCCAGGGCAATTTAGATTGTGACAAACACATATGACAGGAGCAGACATGCATTTGTTTTTGGTGTGAAGTTTGAAGTACATACCATGAAGCTTGATCGTTCATCATGTTCATGCGAAGTTAGACATTAAAAGGTTTGAGTAAGAAAGCTTTAAAGCAGTTCTCCTTCGTAATACTGAGGTAATCATTCAAATTACTGTTCATCTTTGGCAGTTAAAAATTAGCTGAAATGTTTTTTTAGGGCCTACTGGTTGTGGGGCTGGAACTAGCCAATGCTTAATGCTTAATAATGTATTCTTTAATGCAGTTTTTTAGTAAAATTGTCACTGAAAAAGTGTCGGGAATAGTGCTCCACATTTTCAAATACTGCCTTAGTGTGATTTTTATTTTGTTGGTTGGGTTGTTTGGGTTTGTGTTTTTTTGGATGGGTGTCTTTTTTTTTTAACTTGTACATTATGTACATCAGGTTGGAACATTTTACTAGTAGGCTGGACTGCATGTACATGTATGTACTGTGGTTCTTTAGAAGAAAAGAAAAGAACATATTTGTTAAAGCATCTACATGTATCAGATTGTTACCAGTCATCATGTTCATATGTAACAACAAAGCTTCACCTCACCTGCTTTGCGGTGTAGACGGCTTTACATCCCACATCGCTTCATCGCCCTCACCCACTTCCTGGGCTATCAACTCCTAAACATACGCACCCAAGTGTGTATTTGCCTGCAATCGGGGACCTCCTATTGTCCCTCTTTTGTTTGTACACTAACTTTTTAGGAATACCTCCCATATGTTTTGTACATGATCGATTGTAAATTGGGGACCTTCAGGAATTGGGGACCCTATTGTCCTCTATTGCTCAACATCCCCTATTGAAGGCAGAAACAAACTCACACACACACACCCACATGTGTAAACACCGGCAATCGTGGACTCCCTATTGTCCCTAATCCTCAATCCTTTGTTTGTACTAACTTTTTAGCAACAGCTCTCATTGTACACGATTGTGTTTTGTACCTGATTTTCAATCGTGGTCGTTAGGTCAATTGTGGACCCTTTGTTTGTGCCCTAACCCTTTTATCCCTAGTCCATGATTGCTGGTGTTTACACACACACACCCACACATGTTTACGTTACTACATACCAAGTGTGGACATTCCCTTGGTTTCGTGTAGTTAAGAAAAACCAGTGAAAAAACTCATATTTCTCAAACTGAAAACTCTTTCAACCCAATTTGTTTTCTATGATTCCCTTCAGTGTTTCTCTTCATTTTGCCACTGATAAACCTAACCCCAAAATGCCTCTAAACCTGTTTTCCAGAAATGGGGAAACACTGTGTGGACTTACCGAAGTCCACACAACGTCGCCTCTACCTGGTTTATGTGTACCTCTTTTGTACGGAAGTCCACACACAAGTACAGTGAATGTAATGCCTACCCACGCAGCATGCACACCCATTTTCTGCTTTAAAGTACAGCAGTGATGAACAGGCACATACCTGCATACGTATTTCTGCTGTCTTTCTTTTCCAGTTGTGAACTTTGAGAAATGTTTTTTTTATTCCTTTTTTTCCCTTGATTGTTTCATTTTTCAGGGTGTACTCCTTTGCATTATGCAGCAGGCAATGGTCACCTGGTGCTGGTCAAGTGGCTGGTCCATGAGGCTGGAGTCAGCTTGACACCTGAGAGCAAGAAGGAACGAACGCCCAGGACATTCGCCAAGAGGAACGGACACAGGAAAGTGGTGCTGTTCCTAACTGAAATGGGTGAGCAGAAAGCTAGGTTTGCATCACAGGCATTACTCTACTTGAGGCTTGGAAAGGGGGTGGCAAGTTTGCCTTAAAACTATCTTCCCCTTATTTTTATTTTTTTCCAACATAAAATGTTTTCAATTTAACCAAACGTTCAGGGGCATTGCCAGACACCATCTGATTATTGGGGGCGCTATTCAAATTGACAGTATCGAACAACAGATGGGGCTGCTCAGCGCATCTGGCAAAATGAATAATGGAGGCTTTGAGGATTTCCACATCCCTCCCTTTCACCCACCCCATCCCCCCAACCTTCCCCCCCAAACCCTACCCCCTTTATGATACCTGTCATGTCTGTGGGAACGTTCCTCCCCAAATTAATTTTTAAAAATACCGTACCTATCACTTTTATAATGTCACGATTCAATTTTCAGAAATGTCAAGTCTCCAAGATTTTGTTCAGTTCAAGATTGAGATTTTTTTTATTTTGAATCAAAGATAATAGAATTATTATCTTTATCCCCCCTTAGGCCAAAAAAAAAAGTGTCCGGTTTCTGGTATGGAGCTTGCCCAAAAAGTGGTGCGGCGACGTGGCTTTTTTTTTTTTTTTCCTGACTTTTTTGCTTCAAGTGTCAGCTGATGACTGCAAATGGTGCCCGACTAAACTTAGTGCAAATATTTGGGAGTCCAGAGAGGCCACATAAATCTTATTCTCGATCATAACCCCATCTAAAAACACATTACAATTGTGCAGCAGCAGGATTCCAGTCAAACCAGTGAGTTTGGCGGTTTTGAGACATCATCTTTCATTGAAAAAAAAACTTTTTCATTTTGCCGACGCTCATGGCTACGGCGACGCGCGCGCATACCAGAAACCGGAGACTTTTTTTTTTGGCCTTACCATCCCCAGTTATTTTTGCTTGTTTGTGTGTTTATATTTGTATGATACAACAGTCTCAGATTCTTCTTATAACATTGATTTAAATCTTTTTTATTTCTTCCTAATTATAAAGTGCTTTTTATATTGAATGTTTACTAGTTTTAAAGTTTTTCATTGTGATGCCATTTTAATTCAGCTTTTGGGCTGTGATAGTGGCTTTAATAAACCAGAATAATAAAAAATATAATAGTAGAATTTCTGGATTTTTTTGGTCAAAATGACAGTGCATTGGGGATATCTGCCATCTTGTCATCACTAATAAGATCATTCCGTAGTCATTGATATTGGCCCAATTAACAAAGCTTTTAACCTACACAGACCTGTTGAAAATACAGCCATGGACCCTTCATTAGCTCTGTTAAAGCCAGATATTTTCAGTATGTTTGGAGAAAACCATTTCCAGCTCCAAACACTGGCAGCTCTGTCAATATTGAGATTAGAAGTGTACCATCATAATGAAGTAGGCAGCCAGGCACGACCCATACAATGTACACTGTACTCTGACATTATTTTATTGAAGCATAGTGTGCAAACAGTAATGAGCCTATTAGTTGTAGGCCTAATAGAAATCTGCCAGTTGAGCTGTTAAGTTGGAAATCAAGTGTTAAAGGGAAGATACAACATTTGCAAACATCAAAAAACTAAAAGAGCAAATTATCATGAAATATCTTACTGGATTGTTAGTACATGATGTACACGTACATGTATGACCTAAAAACGTGACATATGGCTGTGCAATTTCAAATCACTGTCTTTGTTTTTTCCCTTTTTTGTGTTACTGCAGAAAACAAACAGTCTGGCTTTACTTGGCTTGGGAGCTCTTGATGGTAGCTCCGAATGTCAAAGTGACTTTGCATATTATGCAGACATTGCCATCATGGACACATTGTTGCAGCTCACAGGGAACCAGCTAGGTGGCAGTTGGTGACCGACAGTATGCATCTTATGAACAAATGCACACGAACAAAACTACGGTAGCCTGATGTGTTATGTGGAAAGCACAGGTACAAGTATATCTGCAAAAAGATATTGCTTGTGTGATAATGGTATCAGAGATTGGTGCGAGTTCAGATGATCATTACATTACATTGAGTACATGTACATCACATTCTTGTCTTCACAACTTCACTTATTTAATTGCTGTGAACATTTTGTTTGACTGCTGCTTTTGCCACCATCACGTATGAACCAGTCTAGATTGGCAAGGGGCAGCCTGTGCGACAATCTACGACACATGCGTAAAAACTCAGGCACGCACTTGGTAAACAACCACAAAATAGCACCTGGCACCACGTGATGGTGAATGGACCAGTGAGAATTCGGCTCTAGATCATGAATATGTACAATGTACATGTATAAGGTACAATAATGACTAATTAATGTGCTATTATTCACAGTGTTGAACAGATGGACCTGTACTAAGCTGCTCTGTTGACATGTTATTTAGCAAACATTAGTGCTCAGATTAGACCACTGTCACGATGACAATCTGTGCATTTCTAATCACTGGCTCCTTTTCGCTGCCTGTGTACATGTAATGGAAAATTCATGCAAGTTTTACTTTTATTTGACTGTACATGTCAATCTAGCTTCAGGGCAAACAGATTTTTTCCAATCAACGATTGGTAACAATTTCGTAAAGGTAGGGCGGCCTTTCACAAGCCCAGCCAAAACAGATTGCGTACGTATTGTATTGAATTAAAATGATGTAAAACATGCAGCCTAATAACAGAGAGGGCCGATGCGATGAATTCGTACAAACGAGACAATAAGAAATCACCGCAAGGCATCAGAAAAAGTAATTGCTCTAGGAATCCAATTGAATTTCTCAGTGCAATTCACGACTGGTTTGGTTTGGACAGTTGATTGCTGGTCCAGCTAGAAAACAGTCCAGGTAGTTCTTTGGATTGATCAATGGGACAGGTGTGCAAGGTCACAGCAAAAGAGGGACATGACAGATATGAAAAGATCAGGGATAGCTTGAAATGTTTTGGTTATATATAAACTTGAGATTTGAGAAAGAGGAATTGCATCCCAATATCCATGCATCTTCCTCGCTTTTGCTTATTTACATGAAAAGGTAACCCAAAAAGACAAGGTTGTTAATGAAATCTTGGTTTACAAAAACTGTATGTTCAGGTTAAGGCTGTGCTGAATATATCCACTATTCAAATAATTGAGCAATTCAAGTATCGACGGCGGATCCGGGGGGGGGGGGGGGGGGGGGCCAAAGGGGGCCATGGCCCCCAAAAACGAACCCATAGCCAAGTTCTTTTTTTTTTTTAAAGTGACATCGTAAAAAAAGGCAGCCACTGCGTACACCACCATCTTTTCCTTAAAAACAAATGGCTATTTAAAAGTGGTCAGAAATTGCCTCAGATCGCACCATAGAGCATCTAGAATCAAAGTTTCAAGGAGATGATGATACATGTATATCTCCACGGTGTTATTTTAACTGTATATTTTGTATGGTTTAAATTTACAGTTATATGCCGCTCAATTTGAGTGCTTCCATGAGGAATATAAGGCTCATATTTATTCTTTATTAGGTCAGATATCAACCATTCTAGTACCAATCAATTTTCGACGGGCCCACCCAAAATCCCGACAGGCAGCCAGGTTACTAGCTGGGGCCTGTTAAATTAATCAGTGCAATCAAACATTTGATCAAGCCAAGTTGGAATAATCAAATACTGAATTATTAAAAGATGCAAATCCTCAGTCCAGATTGGCAGTTGAAACTGTTGGAGTCGTTAATATTTTTGTAGCATTTCTCTCTCTGTGAACTTGACAGAAATTGAGTGTATTAAAGTCAAGCTTAAACTTGACATCCATGAAATTAATTCTTAATAACCATAGTATCAAATATCCAGCAAGATATATGGTCCAATTGTTAATATTTCAGGTTTTTTTTGTTTTTTAACCTCAAAATTGACAACGCGCAATTCTTAATGGCTTTTGCATGATTGGCAGGCCACACGCAATCATGTCAAGATTGTAAGTGAAAGTGTTTTTGCAAGCGTCTTATTATGTCTATCTTATTATTAGGATGTTCATTGGCACTAATGAGTTTGACCTACTCATGTCTGTTCTCATTAGCTTGCATTGTTGCTTTACTAGTGACTTTTGCTAGTGTTAGCTCTGTTGATAAGACTGGACTGGCTGTTTTGGGGTTGTTTTTTTACTCGGGAGTGTCAGAACAGGGGCGGATCCAGGAATTTTCGCAGGGGGGTTTTCATGAACAAAAAAATCTGAAAATGTACAGAGGTTTTTTTCTCCGGACACTTGGCCTCCGTAAAATCACAAACTGGGAGGGGGGTTGGGGGGGGGGGGGGGGGTTAACATATTTCAATAGGGGGCACTGTTCAAATTCGACGATTATTAACACTAGATTTATACAGAATGGTGTACCGTATTTTGAACAGGCGACATTATACCAGTATAATTTTTGGGGGGTGTCATGGGGGGGGGGGGGTTCCACTTATTTTTTATGAATTTGTATGATATTTTTTTTTGCTGAACTGGGGGGGGGGGGGGGGTGTTTGACCCCCAAAACCCCCCTCTGGATCCGCGCCTGCAGAAGATCATGATGTGATGTCATATTGATATTCCCAAATGGTTGGATTAATGAAGCAACACTCAAGAACATTCATGACACATTCTGTGCCAATGACGCACAGTCAGATAAAATATTCTGTTTAAAAAAAACTACTTTAATTTGCTTTTTATGTAGTACGTATTTTGTAAACTTACATTTCCTACTTCACCAAATCACATTATACCTTGGACTGTAAAACATGCACATGTATGTGACAGTTGCAAGTAAGTGTGCATTCATAGTTAAAGGTTTTTGGTTTGTTTGTTTTTTTGTTATGGAAATTAAATGTAAATAATTATCAATGTATGGTCCCCCCAAAAATGCTGTTTGATTTTTTCCTTTTCAGTTTCCTGAATAAGACTTTGCGTTAAGTTGTAATTAGGTTGGTGTAGTGGCACATGTACTTTCGTTGTCTTTCCACTTCTGTTGACTCATGATGCAATTCTAAAGGTACATGTATATGTACCTTCTGCACCATAATATGGATTTGTCTGTTCCTGAACCGTAGGAATTTTCCAAACATGTAATTAGAACCATTAGCGATTACCCGGAGGAAACCTTACTCAAGTGCGGGTAGGGCTGGTCCCAAATACCATGTGGAATTATTCTGTCAAAAATGGTTTTGATTAAAAGACATATTAATCAATGAAGGTTGTTTATTAAAAGTGTGCCTACAGGCACACTTTTTTTTTATGGGCTTAAGCAGTGGAATTCAGTTACGATCCACCAAAAATCATGGACACATGTTTTCTCTGTTTTCAGAAAATGTTACTGTTTAATGTTTGCCACTGAGATTCTGAGCTATAAAACTGTACCGTACTTAATACATGTACATTTAGCAATGTTGTTGCTTTAAAGGGAATATGCAACATTTGCTTTTGCTGCAATTTTCAGAAATAAATGGATTTGTTTAATATTGTTACACTGACTTGTTTCACGTTTTGGGTTCGTAGATGCTAGAAAACCAAAAAAAACAAACAATCATATTCTTGTAGTCTGGTTCCCTGACCCTACTTAAGATGAAACGAAGCAATTTATAGACTCTGGGGAATTGTAAAATCAGAGAATCAGCCTAGCAGGCTTGTAGTCTTCACAGGTGTGTAATCAATTGCAAAGAAAATGCAGACGAACTAAATATGAAAAATTAGGAGCACTTTTTGAAAAAAGCCAGTTTTCTCCAACACTGGTCGGCTGATCAGCGTTGGAAAAATACAGTTTTTCTTGGAAATGTCAGCACACCAGGAGCCACAACTTTACAGGATGATTTAGACTGTCATTTTCTAACAATCCAGTTAGGTATTTCGTGATAATTTGATCATTTCGTCTTTTGATGTTTGCAAATGTTGTATCTTCCCTTTAAGATGAAAAAATGCACAAACAGCAAATGACCCTACATGTATGTTACTTTAATCCTCCTCTTGGTTTACACTTCATTTCAACGGTCATGCTTTCCTTGCCATTAAAAGTAAGCATGATTTGTTCTCTGTCTCTTTGTGGTGATGACAAACAAATCACAAATGAGTGATGCTTTTAATCGTGTTCACATTGTGCATACGTGTAATGTGCATACACATGACGAACATTGCACTCTAGTGGTGTGGCATAGGGACAGAATTGTGCATTTTGTGCAAAAAGCATAACATTTGGCATGTGAGGTCTTCATACCACGACAAAAAAAATCAGATATGGAGGCATTTCATATCTGACCCCTGGTGACCTTTGAGAGGTCAATGACCTCTGAATACTCTATTTTTATACATATTGTTCTTGAAAACACCACTTTCCTATGACCTAAGTCATGTGTAGTCTTCATACAATGTAAATCAAGACCAAATACGGCAAAATTTCAGAGTTGACCTCTGATGACCTTCCAGAGGTCAATTACACTTGTATTAACTGCACTAACTCTATTAATAGATTTTTATACTGTTTACCCTTTTAAACCCGAACTTTTTCAAGACCCAGGTCATAATGTTAATGGAATGCCTTCAAGGGGTCAGTAAATTGTGCATATATCCTATTTATAGATAATAAGAGGATAAACTATTAAAAACACCACTTTTTTATAATCCATACCTAAATTGTGGGTATTTTGCCATGATATGAATGTTCAGATATGTAGACATTTCGTATTTGCGAGGTAAACGAACTTTGTTTACTCTGATTGCCCTTATTTATTATGTTTAATCTTCAAAATGCCACTTTTTCATGAACGAAGTCTAATAAGTGCAAAAGGAGTCTATTTTAATAATTATTCTACAGCATGCCATGAAGTCATGCAGACCCCAAAGATTTTTTTTTGCATGACCTCTGATCTCAATTTTCCTTTTTATGAGGGTAGACGCAGGCGCAACAGAATATGAGGCACATTTTATATAGGCCCTACTGTTTAAGTACATGTACTTATGATATAATTATTATTGATATTGTTTTGTTTTACTAATTAGTTTTACTACTTAAGTCTTTGTAATTGTAATTGTAACTGTGTACAGGTGACGTTTTGTGTGTGTATTGTGTATGTATTTTTAATGTTTTTTGGCACGCAAAATCACGGAGCATTTCACTGTATATTTATATAAATGTTTGGCAATAAATAAAATCAATTTCAATTTCAATCACTCTTAAATCAAAGGTTAAAAACGTGGTTAATCAAGTTTATCTGGATACAACAGGGTGTAATAAGTACACAAGTGTGAATATTGCTTGAAATATGTACATTTTTCATTCTAAACAGGTTGACCCACAGATTTCTATTCCAATCAAGTCATATTGCATCTACAATAAAACAAGGAGAAACCAGGTCAGATAGCTAGAGGTCACCTCAAACTTGTTTGTGGGGTCTGAATTCGTAACATGACTGTAAACTAATAGGTGCAATACCGTTCTTTGGCACTATTGAGAATTTGGTTACAAAAAAAATGGTGTTTTGATAAAGAAATGTGATAAATAACGGCAATTAAGATATACGAAGTTCATTGTCCTCTCCAAGGGTATCACTACATCAAATATGATGTCATGGTACAAAGAATTAAGTTTTAGACTTGGGTCATGAAAAAAGTGGTATTGGCAATTGTGCAAATCTCAGTACCCATAGGTAGGCTTTGGTTTTACAAAGGTCATGACCTCTCGTAAGGTCACCAGAGGTTGAATATGAAATGACCTACATATAAAAATTCTCTTGATAGCATGAACACATTTCATTCAGACATGAATCGTAAAAAACGATGGGGTTTAAAGAATAAATCTTACAAATAGCTATAAACAGGTTTACAAAGGTCATTGACCTCTCAAAGGTCACCAGATGTCAGATATGTTTTGTTCCCATATCTGATCATTATTTTCATTGTATGAAGACCTATGACATAGACTTTTGTCATAGGAAAGTGAAGTTTTGAGGAACAAAAGATACAAATAGAGTTTGTAAGTTCATTGACCTCTCAAAGGTCACCAGAGGTCAAATATGAAATGCGTCCATATCTGAAAATTGCCATCATGGCATGAAGAAGCAACATGCGAAGTTTCATGCTTTTATCACAAATTGCACAATCCTTTGGCAATTAGCTATATGCTGCTCCATTGCAATCAGTGAGCTAGTCACTTCACTTTTTCCCAGTCAGAG